AAAAAAAAAACAAAAAAAAACCAAAAAGAAATGCTATTGCTGTCCTGGCCGTCATCGAGGGTTCTCCAGTAATCCATAAATACTGAAACGAGTCAAAAATATCTTTCTCTGTTATGAAATACCAATTTCCAATCATTCAACTAATTTTGAATCACTTCAAAAATTTCGAGAAGCTAAGGCAAAGTAAAAGCTCCCCTTAAAGTAGACCAGTTAGGTCCAGCCCTCTTCTTTAGATCAATGACTTGACTAAAGAAAGAGTAATAATTATTAGGAGTATATTTTAGGTTCATTTGCTGACTTTACTTGACCACTTATTATACATTGTCCATAAATTTCCTTCTGAGCACAGTTGGATTCATCTCAAGTTTGATAAATACATCTCATTTGCTAGGTATATCAAGTTAACGAACCAGGAACATCTCGGAGGCCAAATTTTACGGATTTGTGTACAATAGGACAACATGCTGTCCAAATAATTGGATGAGAAAAATTCCGAGGACAGCCAAAACCAATTTGGCTGTCAAATATATTTTTGAATCCAATATTTCCAAATTGGACTATGATGTAGTCTTACTACTTTTTAATTAGATCGCGTACGGAACTATCCAAATTACCTGTTAATTTGAACACTATCCAAATTAAGAATTTATTGGGCTAGTAATCTAATTGATATGAAAAAAGCTTTGTTCTATAATTGCGAGTGAAGTACTTACTTTTCTTAGAAAAAACCGCTAGTATCGAAATATTCCTGAAGGGGGACTGCTTGTTAGTGAAAACTTGATTTATTTTAAAAACCTCGAGCCCTAAATATCACCAAAATTAAAAATATTGTCTGAGAATTTATTTATAATTATATCATTATCTAGTGCTAAATAAAATCAACTCCGCTACGAATGAGAGAAGTTTGTAGTTCTGTTGCAAATTTAATGCTGAAGTCGGAGTTTAGATGAGCAAATAAGTTTCTCATTTAAAATCGATTTACTAACAGCATAAAACACTTAAATAAGTTTAAATTTCCGCTTCTGTTGAAAAATTATGCTGTTCGGTTTGTGTACAAATTGTGATAGGCAAGTTTGTTTACACAGCAGTGTTATTATCCGACTCAGTTGTAAGTTTCCCCTTTATTTAGGGAGTAAATTGGCCAAAAAGATTAGAAAAAAGAGAACAAACGAGAACATTAGCTCAGACTGCATGGTATTTCGCAGCATTTCTTACAAGTAAACTAAACTTTTCCATATGGGTACGGTAATTTCTAATTGTTGGCCTTCGAAAAGTCTTACCTATCCTGTTTACGTTCATAAATTAAAAGGAACAACAAAGACGTGAATCTTCCAAATATTGCCATTACCTGCGTTTCTAGATCTATGCCAGTACCTTCGCCCAGACACCGCCATAAGGCAAACGAACAACGCCGCCCAGATCTTCATTTTACGATGAAAGGCTAGTGAGTTTTAGCAGCAACTTAATTTAACGAGGCTCTTAAACGCTTATGTGCTATGAGAACAATTTACGACTCATTTAAAAGCACATCTACAGCAGCTGAGTAAACATGCGCCCCGTGATATTGTTGGCAATGATCAATAGAAAACAATGAATGAAGCATGAAATGTAGAACTCATTACACTGCAGGACAGGAAATTCAAGCGCCGACCTCAGTGCAAGGAGATACGCGACAAGCACGGAAACGGAAATACTTTCATCGTGTTTATGGAATATTCCCTCGTAAAATAAATCGTTTATGTGTCTAGTTCTCTTATTGAGTAGACTAACACTCAGCTCAAAGTACTTTTACACCCAAACAGCACTGAAAAACACTGAACAACAAGTCCCAATGATCGTATCCAAATTCTCTTTATTGTCACTTATATCTCCCATAATTTTCCCTGGGAGAAAATGGTCTTTGATCAAGATTTTTGTCTAAGGTAATCAGATTCATCCTTCTTGTAGAATTTGTTAGAAAAGGTAAAACGAGATTATAAGAATTAACATGAACAATGAATATGATCCAAAAAAATTCCACGAGAGCAGAACGCACTTGAAAGGAAAAGAACCAGAAGGCATTGATCATCTGTGGTTTTCTTCTCATTTTAAGACACTCAGGCGCCGGAAAGCTCTGCAGGCAGCTCACAATTAATTACGATAATAATTTATGAGATATTAGTCATTTACGAATTCCTTTGCTTTCTTATGTTTTTTAAGTTATAAATGTCATTTAACGAGTTGTTGGAAGGGATACGAGTTTAATGAAGAAATAGTTTAAATTTAATGCCCTTTTAATGAGCGCTGCTCCTGACAGTGCCAACATTAGATGAGGTCTCAATAATAAGAAAGCCACGCGAACACAGCCTGGGGCAAGCAAATATCTACAAGAACAATCAAGACAGTTTGACTTATTTATACAAACACTACAAACACATACTAAAGTAATCCGGAAAATGAGGTAGGCTGCTAATAGGCACTGCCAATGGAGGTGTTGATTAGAATGATTTTCTACTTAGCTCTGTCATTAATAGAAGTTTGTCAGGCACACTGGTTTAGTATACGGCTATACTGAAGAGGATTGTATTACAAATAGGTTGTAACTATGTAACTGCATACATGAATTAATCACAATTAACCCCTGGAGAATGCTAGCGGAGTCTGGAGCAGATATTTTGGGCCTTGTGATGCAAGTTGTCGTCTTTTGAAAGATTTTCTGTTTTGTGCCTCAATCTAATCTTTTAATTTTTACTTGCATGTATTCTCTGTAATTAACGTACGAATGTATCAAGGCTTTTTTAAGCGAAACAGAAAAACTTTATGAATGTAATGTAATTATAAAAGTAAAAAAATAATAAAAAAAAGAAAAAGAAAATTTATGTCCATATTATGTGTTTCTCGAAAAAAAAAATCATTCTGTTATCGTTAAGTTGTACTTTGGGAACTTTCCCAGAGAGGGCGGAGTTGTCGGGTAATTTTAAGAGTTCTCAGCATGGACGTTTTCCAGGACAGTTCTTCGATGGCAGAGTCAACATCATACGAAATATGAATGAACTGTTGATGGGAGTCAAGCTGTTGAGAGGGTGACAGGAAACGTAAAAATCATGTTAGCTTTGCATGTAATGCTACTTTTTAAAACTTGGGGTTATATTTGCAATAACCTCAATCAATTATCGCGAGCAGGGATCGGAAATCATGGCGAGGTTCAAAGAAAAATACGAAAAAGTGGAAGGAGCCTGTCATGGGTCCTGTGTTTGGGGAGAGCTCTTTCTCTCAAGGCCCCTCCCATGTGGGATTATGGGTTAAGTCTTAAGTCTCATCCCAGTTTTCTCTCTTCCCTAAGCCTGGTGAGTTGTTTGTTACGTAAGCAAATAATAAAATACAGTTAAGAATATAACACAAACAGCGGTGATGAACATTGTATTCCAACGCATTTTTTAAAACGCATTTTTTTTACGTTGCCAAACAAAACGAAGACTCCATGACAAAAAAAAACATAACATTTCAAGGCCCTCGCTAAACGTGACCATTCATTAGCCCTTGCTGATCATGTGAAAACTACTAGTCACAACATAAAATGGGATCATTTTGATATTCTAGCGTCCGGCAAAACTGACTTTCATTGCAAAATTGAAGAGACTCTGTTCATTCAAGAGCTAAAGCTTTCCCATAATGTCAATGTCAGTAGTGAGGAGTTATTGCTTTATTAGCTGTTTCTCCTCATGATGTCTAGACAGGTTAACGTACTGCCATAGGAAGATCATTTTTCTCAGTCTAGGTTCCGGACCTCTGATTTTTACGATATATATATATATAGTTTTAAAAAAATTGTAACGGTCACTTTTGAAAATGTATGCAGACTAGCATACGAAACGTCAAGTTCTGTATTAAAATGCGTTGGAATATAATGTTTATCACCGCTGTTTGTGTAAGATTCTTAATCAAGCTACGATGGCCTAAGAACAAGTTTATAAAATACAGTTATTTAGCGCTCGCTCAATGAAGAAATTACCCCATGCATTTGTTTTAGTTTATCTATCACGCCCATCTTTTTAATCTTTTATTAACAGTTTTCAAACATCGGTTTCTGAGTCCATTAATACGTTGTGTTTCGACTCTTCTCAAAATTTGCAAAAATATACAGATAGTAAATAAAAATAAATTTATTAATAAGAACCAAGAAAAAACCTCCTGAAGAATCATCTTCCGTACCATTACCTACACTGCAGTCTAAAGTCATTCTAGAATTAAAACGTCATATGAAAGTACATTTTAGGCTTTGTTTACTTTGTTTGTCTAAAATACGAACAGGCAAAGAAAGTTACGCCACATGCACAGGGTAATCATTATGAGGTCAAGGTCTGTCGGAGTTCCATTGTATTCAAGTAGACACTTCCCAATAACATCGAATTACACTAAACCCACTCTCTTGCTTGCCAATTAAAACGAATCTCTCGCAATATTCTTCAATTTATCAGCAGTTAGATAATAACTCATCAACTTTATTGAGGCTAACTCGAGATAAGAATACTTTTTCAGAGCTATACATTAGCTGTTGGTAGATGAAAGAAGAACTTTCTCCTTGATGCCCTTAGCAAAATATGTTGAGAAATTAGAATTTGATCGCGTTCGGAGATTAATTAAAGCGTGATGAGAATTAGCATCTGTCAATTAACCTTGAGTGTCTCTTCAACCTTTTTTTTTGCGATTTTATTTTCTTTTTGTTGCGCAACATCTTATCACGTATTTCGTTTTTAGATTGCGGAAATTTTGGTCACAATAGAATATAACCAGTGTATAACTGTATGTGCCAGATCGGAAACTGGAAAATCGTAAATGCGATAGTTTAAGTATTTACAAATAACAGTATTTACAAAACAGCAATTGGACGTAGTTTATTGAAAATGCGTGTGTCTGCAGACTCAACAGCCCGAAGCGTTTCCCATTCTGTTAATTGCTTTCTCGCCTTGGAAATGTAAACAAACGGGTCGTTTTCGTTAGCAGTATAAACTCTGGTGGATGGCTGAAAGAGCAAAGCGAGGTCATCGGATTCTGAATCGAATTTTAAATTCCTGGAAAATCTTCTGTGAGCTGTATAATAGAAAATAATTAAGAGCGGTTGATGAACAAAAACTAGACTCACACATTTCTATAACGATTTGCTGTTTTATTTTAACTTTTAAATAATTCAGCGGAAAACAAGAGGTACAAAGACGGCTCGAAATCGATTTAAAAATAAAGTAAAACCCGAAGATTGGCTCCGAATTAATTCTTTAGTAAAATAAAGTTTGAAAGTCATGCGTATTCAGAAGTTATAGGTCAGATCGTTTTGCAATAGTTGCGAAAATCATAAGGGACAATTTCCAAACCGAGAAATCATAAATTAGAAGGAATTTGAACGAACTTTTGTATCTTGAAAAGAAATTCACGGGATACATAGTTAAAAATAGTCTTCAATGAGTAGGAGAAAATTCTCGCGAAACAGATATTCATCAAATGTAATTTGCCGCATAAACTACTCAATGATGCATTTGTGGACTGTGAATTTACATCATAAAATAGTCAACAACACTACAGAAGCAAGCGAAAGAGTTTATTTGTTTGATACAGATTTTAACACGAAATCTAGGCAAGTGCTAACTGGGAAAATGAATGGGTTTCTAGCAGTAAACAAATGCGTAGAAACAAATGAGAGGACTGAAGAGTCTATCGGTTCGGCAATTAAAATCAGCTCATCTTGCTCGCAAGAGTCATAATAAATGACAAAAAAAATCTCCCACACTGGATAGCGTCATGAATATTTAATTTTTGCCGTGGCAGATGTCTACACTGCTTCGCTGCTGATCAATGAATGTTCTAGAGGAGGATTATGGTCGTGCTGTCTAGTTCGATTTGATGATATTATAGGCGAAGTACAAGGCTGGAATGAAACGTATAATTTTGTAGAAGTGTCTGCGCTGCAACTTGGAGTAAACATGATTTCGATGGCAGCTAATGCCTTCGAAGGCTTCGACCAAACGACGCAAAAACGGAGTTTGATCACAAGGGTAAGTTTTTGAAGGTGTCTCGTTTTATTTATAGTTTAGTTCCAAAATAAGAACGCAGTGAATGATTATAAACAACGACCGCACGATTCGAAATATTTCGTGAAAACACTTAACGTTTAAGATGATACTGCGTTTTAAAACGATCTCGACATATTGACTTCGAATAAAAAAGCCGCTAAACAGAGTTCATTCACATGTCACCTACTGCGACAAAATGCTGCATAGAAAATAAAAAATACATGGCCTGCGCATAGAAGCAATTCAACGAGTGAACCGGAACTATCCGTGAGCAAACAAATCTGTCTTGGAGACGAAATAATTTTTTTTGAACATGGAAAGGAATAAAATATCAAATAAACTATGGCTTGTTAAAGGTCTAGAAAATAAGCGCGTTATTTTTTGAGTTTGAAATGACATCGGGAGCTGGCCGGCAAATAAACTAATGAGATATATATACTTAAATATATGCCGAAGCAGACTTGTAGCTTAAGAATATTTACTTGTAATTTGTTTCCTGGCAAGAACAACTTTAGCGTGCGAACATCTTTAACTGAACAAGTGCATTATCGAGAAATTGTTACAATACTTCACTAAGTCGGCAAGAAAACTGAAATTAAAAAAAGTGTACGTGTGTGGAAATTGACATGCGCCATCAAATTATGTCACACCATAACACAGCAACGTTTTTGTACAAAATTATCGAAGCCAAAAAGCGCATGAGATTGGTTCAAATGTCGAATACTTTAAAAAAAAATGACATTTTTTACTTTCTAGTTACCAAAGAAATGAGCTTTTGGCAGATCAAGCATTGTTTCGAGTCCGAATGTGGTCGGCCAGCTTCCTTATTTATCAAAGCAAAATAACAATTTACAAATAAAATTCGTCTGAAGCGCGCAATTCAGTTTCTTGGCCTAACTCATTATTGCCCTGCGTACTTTATTCACTACATGTAAAACATTTTTTTTTCCACGTTTTGCAGTTATATACATTTGTAAGGCCGTCGTCGTACCTCGCTTACGGCGAACAATACAATATTCAAAATGGACGGTGAAATGTTGTAGTTTACAACGTTTGACAAAGGATAGGCTTTTGCGGTTCTGTTAATCTATTTTGCGAATTGTATAGCTGAAAAGCTATGCTTTAGAGTGATAGAACTTTAATAAAGATGGCTGTAAATTTTACCGTTTGATTCAAAAATGCTTCAGGCAAATGAGGTTTTTGAAGATTGACTCGGAGAGCAAACTGAAGAACATTTCTCAATCTGAAACTCAATTTGGAAAGGGATCACATTTTCGTCTTTAGCAACGCGAGGGTAAGATGAACCTATGTTTTAGTCACGTTCTTAAAGGAATACAAAGGCTGCTGTCACGTTGTACAAGTCAGGCGGAAACTATAAAAGAGAAACCATTCGCTCACTCACCGACTTAAATTTTTCATTATAAGCCGCCTGCTTCCAGCTGTGAATTTTCCCAATTACCAACCGAGGCAGAAAACAATTTCGTTGTATTTGCATTTTTGAGCCAGAGACGAGGTAAATAATGTTAAGATCGAAAGAGAAACGCAAGCAGTTTTGGTTTAAACTAATTCAGGCAGGTGTTTTAGTCAATAGCGGCGATATGCATTTCTTGCAGTCGATTACGACAATGTTTTTTATCTGAAAAGCGCTCCAAAAGTTAGTCAAAAAAGACGGCACTAGCAACATGTTTTATGATCCTACTGGAATGTTTGCCTTAGCGACAGATGGAATAAATTCGTTATAGCCACAGGGGGGTCGGGTTGAGGTGATCAACGTATTTTAAGATGCCAGTAAGAAAAGGATTAAGATTCAAGCACTAGAACTGCTAAATGTCAGAGAAAAAGCCTGTTTGAACTATGATATAAATTCTGTTAGGCCAAGGATTCGCATTTCATGATATTCTGCTACCTTATCGCAGTCCAATTTAATGTTAAAAGTTTTCTGCGTGGAATCCATTCCTTTTATGTTAAAGCTATGTCGTCATAAAAAACAGAAGATCAAATTAGGGAAGTTAAAACCTGCCGCTGGGCTACTTATGCATTTTCATGAAAACCACACAAGAAATCGACAAAAATTGACGCGTGTGTAATTTAAGTGAGCATGAGCGACGAGGAGTTTAGAGTTTTAGGGAAGCACAGAATACAGGTAAGTCAATTTTGCCGTAAAAGAGTCGCGTTCTGTGAGTCACAATGCTTCGTTCAGCGTAACTTATTGAGATTTTGTTTCCTGTGTCAGCCACAAAACAAAGCAATTGGCGCCCAATGGCTTAAGAAGACATCTCCTTCTTTGTAATTGCGCGCTGAAATTATCAGTCGTCCACGCATACACCTTACAGGAATTTTTTCTCGGGGATTTGAAATTGGGTAAGTCCTCCAAGGAAGACTTATTTCCCAAGAACAACGCTAAATTTTGACTTCATATTTCCCGAATGACGTCTGTCTGAAGACATTTTGTGGGGGGGTTTCTATATTTCCTTTTTCATAGCTTCAGTTGTGTGTATTAGTTTGTCATAACCACAACTTTATTTAATTTAATTCAGTTAGCTCGAAGCGCTATTTTCACAATTAGAAAATTGCAGCTCCGAGTTACATTTAATTTAGGCTGATAAAGTGCAAATAAGGAAATCGTCGCTTTTTGAATTCTATGAATACTTGGTCCATTATGAAAATATTATCGGTAGCGAAGTAAATAAGTGACTAATCTCGAGATTTTTTCATTCAACACAGTCTTTTGCCTCCTGAATTGAGCAGATCTTGATTAACATGCTCTTGATTTCATTCCGAATTTAGAATATGATAATTTTTCTGTTAATCTCCAGCCAGCGAATACAGTGCGGATTTTATTGTAATCATCTTCTTTGCCTTGAGACTAAATCTGTCTACGAAGTCCGTTTCATTCTACGTCGTTTTCAGTGTGTCTTTGAATATTATACATCAATACCTTAATGTAATGGACGATCGCAAACTTTGTGCTAATCTTCAATTTAGGATCTTTCTCAGAGATACCTGTATGCAACAAGTTGTTTGAAACTTACTTTCTCGTTTTTATACCAACGTGGTATAATTGACACATATAAGTTATACATCGACCTAAAACAAAAATTATCGCGTTCTGTAACTGTGTTTAATTCCTGGTGTGTTTAAGCTCGATCAATGCAGCTATCACAGCGAGGACGATGAAATATTTTGTTAATGGCTGTACCCCCTCATCGAAAGAAACTGTCCAAATACACTATCTTTAGTAAAGTACGTTAGATGTAAAACCACTCAATAAACCACTAAGATTAACTTAACTTCAGACCCACTCGAACTAATTCAGTGACTCGGCGTGTGACTACGAAAAGTAATTGTTCTGGCGCAAAAAGATGACACTTCTAGGAAGATCTTGCACAACAACTTATTCATAATTAAAAAGAAGAAACTTGAACCCTTTCTCGTACTTATGTAATCAAATATCTTCAAGAAGTATCGAAAAGAAAAGATAACACTATAATTAACGAGTTCATCTATTGAAAATACTGACTTTCAACAGTCACCCCACGAAATAGCCTGGTTACAAAGTCCTGGAAAACCTGGCTTAATAAATATCCCGTAACTTTTTTTTAAGCAGGCTTTAATTCCCTGATAACATTAACATTTTCCTCAGTGCTTAGCCTCTTGACTGCCTTTACGACGTATACTCAGTACGTCAAGATATGGCGTACTGAGTACGTCAAAACTTTAATAGATTTAGTCAAACTCCCGCCACACTAAAAACAACTTTTATCGGCACCTGATATTCGTAGGAGGTTTTTCGAGACACTGCTAACTTCCCATTCCTGTGACGTCATATGGATATCAAATTACGTCAACCTCAGCGAAATTAACTGAATTGAAAAGACACTTTAATAACCTTTCAGAAACTGTGTACATGTTTGTAGATTAAATGAAAAAGCTTATGGCATTTGAAGTTTTTTTTACTGGACACCCATTTGTGTAGCACGCAGCGCACACGATGGTCTGGCACTAAAGGAATCAGTTGCTTCTTGTTATCAATTTTACCATCTACTACCTACTTCTTCTACATTTTCAAAGGGCAAAGACAAGCTCATAAATCTTCAAACATTAAAAAAAGAAAAATTAATTTCAACTAATACAGAAGATATAAAGCTATTTGGAACTAATAGTATTAATTTAATTTTGGTTTACCAAACTTGGTTTGAACTTTTCATAAATTAATCTTATTAAAAGTATAATGAAAACGAACTCCTCCGAACAAACCGGAAATAAACCAAAGAATTCCGAAGAAACCCGACGAAATCCGAAGTTTTCTACATTATTATGAGTAACGGTCAGGGATCAACAAATGAAATGCGACGAACTCTCTGTTGTTTTTGTTCGCGTGGGTTATTGTAATTCTCATCCTCACATGAGATTTTGCTGTCTTGCTGTTAACACAAACCGGCTTCAGTAATGGACGTGGATTTTGTAGCAGGAATTCACAAATTTATCGGCCAGGCCACCTTTACAACTCAGGCTGCGTTTCGCTCCAGCATTTCTTCGAAGGTATTTCCCATTGCATTGTTTTGTTTAAGATTAATGTTTTGATATTTGCGACACTAACCGTTTATCAAAATCTCAGTCTAATTATATGTAATACGGGAAATTTTCGGTCCGTGAGTTTAGCTGAACCGTTTAAAACTGACAGTATTTTTCTCAGATTAGTGGAGCCTTATAAAATTTAGTCCTTGATTTGAAATCTTTGAAACATTCTGCGAAGAAGGAAAATTGCCTATGCTTGGAAATAATTATGAATTCAAAAACATATACGAACGATTTTAGTCGTCTCCAAAACTGATGTTTGAGTAAAAGTTTGACCAGAGAACAACTTCTCAGTCATTCACAAAAAAAAAAATCTGGAAACTAGCAGCGTAAAACTTCAATTATCAATTTATATGAGAAAGGTAAGAAGAAAAACACGCCGGTAAAATTGCTCTGAAGAACAATGAGCGAAATTTTGACCTAGTTAGAAAGTGTTATCAACTTTAATATATTTAAGTAACTTCAGCGTTCACAAGTTACCAGCGAAATTTTGTTCAACATGCATTCAAATGAAATATTATTGTCCGAGATAACTGAATTGCAAACCGCTTCTTAAGTTGCAGATTGTAGCATGCCCCTGTTCCTAGGTATAGACACATCATAGTAAGATTTCTCTGACAGATTTGTAGTTAAAGAAAGAGCTTTGGTCTTCTTTTGAAAGTTTAAGCTTTTAATCAAATAATCGACCTCATTTGGGTAATTCAATTCATTAAAAATAATTTCACATCATTAATACAACACTCGTTGAAAAGAAAATCACACGATTACAATAATAGGTCGGTTTTCTGTTTACTTTCTACAAATTTTAAAAAACAGACACATCCAATTTCTATGGTTAAGGAAAACCAATGATCAATTAGGTTACAAGAATTCTCTTTTATTTTCTTTCCGGTATTTCATAATAAAAACAATAGATAGCTCCATAATTATATTTAGCATGCCACGGTTACTGCCTATGCTATTTACTTTTGCAATTTACTTCATACATAAAGCAGGTAGCGAGCTTATTCATTTAAAATATCACTTCCATTTTTATCGCAACGTCTGGAAAAACAGCGCAAATACTTGATATGAACAAATCCGGCTCGGCATGCCAAGTTAATTCATCTTGTAATTAAATAAAAGAATTGTGCGCCGACTAAGTGACGTAAGTAAGAAACTACTGATGAATAATTTTGACAAGTGTTTTATTTTGTTGTTATTTCTATTGAAAGCTCTATGTCTCAGTCTGTTGTGATTAGCAACTTATAGCAGCAAACTGTTAATCGTTAATTGCGAACTAATTAGTTACCTTTATATATATGGTCTCTGGGTTTCTTAATTTTCCTCATTTGGAAGAAAGTTTACAGCACGATGGTGAAGCCGTTTTAAGAACGAATCCATCACAAGTTAGAATAACAAGCGGACAAAACTTTGTACCGAGATTATTTACATTGTATCGCAAACTTCTGTGCCACTGTTTTCGGTATTCTCTTAAAAGAAATTTTGGCATAAAATTTTGAAAACAAATTGTGAAGTTCATATGAAACACTTGAAAGTATTGGTGAAATGAAACTGATGATCAAATTTTACCCATGATTGCACAATTTCTCTGAACTTTGAAATTTATTCTCTCGAATTCCCATGGAAAATTGTTTTTGGTGTTATTTCAGGCAACTATTTATATCTTTAGCTTTTAGAAGTTGCAAAAAGGACTGTAATACTTCAAGTTATTCTGGTACAAGGTTTTTGTCCATTAAAAACCGAAATTGCTCGATTGCCTATCGGATTTGGTATTAAAAAGCAGAATAAAATCGTGAGAGTCCTAGGAATGAGTTCACTTCGTTTAAATTAAAGTTTAAAATACTCGAAGAAACAGCGCATGCGCGAAACATTCATTAAGTCGAAATATTTCTGGGAACAGAAAAAAAATGTTATCTGACATGTATTCTACCAGCTAAACAGGCAACAAGCGAAACGCCAAGCCACGCTCAAAATTTCAAAGCAATTTTCTTTGTACTGGTGAATTTTCAAGTTCAAGTTCAGGACAAAGTAAACTTTGTTTATGGCAGTTTCTAGTGAGCCAATCGTTGGTGAAAAACGTGAAACTGGGACATTAATCTTTCATATGAAACAGTTTCACGTATTTTTCTTCATGAAATTCGCGGAATGAATGGAATAAGTTGACCAAATTAGAAAAAAAATGTCGTGATGTCTACACGGATTCTTATCTCGGACTTTCGCCAAAGTGGTGCGACTTTTAATAACTTCAAGATAACATATCTCCACTCTTATTGAGTCTATTTATTTCATTTAGCAATCTGCCTTATCACGCGAGGCAATAAATGTTGCTACTTTTGACTAAAAAAGTCAAGCTCTATTTCATACTTCGATAACTCTTCAACAAGTGGCATACATTTACTGAGAAATTGTGTCAGAGATTATAAGCCTCTTAAAATCACAACGATTTTTTTACGGCTGACATTTCCTGTCGGTGTCAAGGCCTATCCGGCACGGGTTAAAAATCTGTCAATTATCGCTAATAGTATAGCAAACCAAAATATTCCTTGTTCTGGAATATACTAAGAAAAAAAAGTGATATCGTGCTTCGCATGTTTGAAAACCGAGACAACAATAAAAACCGCTCACTACGCGCCGTTTTGTATTACATTCTGAAGCTTATACCGGACCGGTAGCGTCTTATTAAAAGCTTTACAATTTTACGTCGAGGGAAAGGTCTCAAGAATTCAAATATACAACAAACTTATCGAGTTGATATTGGAAAAAGAAGAACTGCAAACGAGCTTTATAGCGTCAAAACCTAAGCGGGTCAACGAAAGCTCGAAATATGACGGAGAAAGATTAGAAACGTACAGCTTCAAAGAGAATATCCATTTTATACACTTTTGAGTTGTTTTAAAATTAGCTTCATATGGTCCAATGATCTATGGCCGACTCAACACGTTTTAGTAATTATACCTTAGCACTCTTCAACAAGAAGCCATTAGTCGGTGCTGTAAATTTTCATTGGCCACAGTTGGTTTGGATTGCTCTTGACTTCTTCAAAGAATTAATTCAATTAAACGCGTCGTGTACTTACCCAAGCTAAACGGGCCTTTCTGCATTGATGTTTTTTCGACAAAAAGGAAAACATGCATGAATTAAGCATTGGCAAGACTTCGCTCCCCAACCATGACACGTGCTTCCTGTCTTCCGTTGAAAAAAGGAGCTTTTAACTTCTCGACCAACCGTGTTTTCACGTTACTTGAAAACGACGGAAGCGAAAGCAGTGTTACTCTTCAACATTTCGGAGAAAGTACTTCAGAACCATCATTAGCGCGAGCAAAATCGGCCGGAAGAAGGGAGCAGGTACGTAAACTCCCTTTTCTTTTATTTCATATAAATTTTTGCTCTAGTGCAAAGCTATTACGAACGACGATCGATGGAATATTTTTCATTTAAAGCAGACAACTACGTCGGTGCTTCAACACGTGAAAATATTCCAATTTCACCTTGAATTCGTATTTACATTCGCTCTTGTGGTCGAATATATTTTTTAGGAGGTGAAAATGTTTCATGAATCACTATGAATCGACAAGGGGCTGCAATTTGTCAGTTATGAAAGTTTTATGACTTTTGTTTCCTAATTGTTTTCTCTCGAAATGAATTGTTATTATCATAATGTTTTGATCTATCTATGTTCTTTGAAGATTTCATCATCAATTTTGTTAGCTTTTCTAATTTATTCATAATTCCACAGTTTTTAAGCTAGTGTGGGCTGATGCCAGGCTTTTTCGAGTTCCAAGTTTGCCTAGAACAGCTCTTTATAATCCTCTTATAGATCTCATATGGTTCAAAACGTGCTTGCACTTGAGGTTTTTCTCACAATGTTAGTGTGCAACTTCATCTTCGCGTCGAGAGGAAAACCAGACTTTCTAAACTACAATTTGAATTTTCACCTATTGGAAAATTGTCTGTTTTCTCGAAAATGCACGAAAATGCACGAAAATGATCCCAGGCCTGAAACTGGTAGCACAAATTTCAGGATTATGAAAAGTATACTTATCTTACTTTAGTTATGTAAACTCAGGGTAGAATAAATGCTTCTTTCTTGGCATATTAAATGAGAGGCTTTTTATTGGATTTTCATCCAATCGGGAAGTTTCACTTTTATTATTTACCAACCTAGACATGTGGAGTGAAAGCGATTGATCGCTTGGTTTTACATTTTAACTGGTGAAAGAAAAAAATGGCCGACGCTTTGATTCAGTCTTGCAGCATTCGCTTTTTACTCGCGTTTGCAAGTGATCTTTTTACCCGGTTTCCGAGCGGAATTGAAAAAACGAAATATTTCAACTGCGTGGGGAGATAACTCGTATGCAATGCTGAGAACGCCTACGTGAAGTTGAGCCACAGACATTCGAGAGAAAAGTGTTTTGTAATAGTTGTGGCTTGATCAATTAGCACCGGTTAATCATTTTATCTCTTCGCAATGTAACTGATATAATCGCTTTGCTTATATTAATGAAAATTTCGCTTCTCTGATCATGAGCGATGTACATGTATGTATGATGGCACACAGCAGAAAACGCAGCCTTAAAATCGGAGCAAAGCGCTTGTACTCCCCTGATGAGGCAGGTATCAATAAGCGTGGCCTGTTTCTAATTTTGCGAGGTTTGATGTCATGCGCGCTTATTGGGGCCATCGTCTTCCCTTGCGGAAGACGATGTAGATTTTAATATATGATATTGCGTTCCAGAATCAAAATTGTCTTGTTGTTTGAGAATCCTACTCTCATCCTCTTCTGTTTCTCTTCCCATTTTCTGCGAAACGGTTGAAGAAGATCGCAATCACAAGCTTGTGCGTGGCTTCTGCTGTCTCATGATTACTATTGACACGTTTCTGTTCTTCTCTTTGTTCCTGTTAAGGGATCGATGAGTTCATCCAGCGAGATCTCGTTTCCACCTTATGAAGTCGTCCCTGCCACTCGACCCATTATTGTAATGGGCCCTTCGCTCCGAGGATACGAGGTATGTAAACCGAGGAACGACGAAAACTGACGATAAATGTGCGAGTAGACATGTACTGCATATCAACCATTGACATAGTGAAAAATCACATTTAGCTGTGACGTTCCTTTCCTCATATGCTTAGTTCGAGTCTAGAGGAACATTCGATGTCGCATAGGAGTGATTCACTCCTGCAGTGTAAGCGGAAAAAAGATGGACACCATTGCATTGAAGGGTTCGGTTATAATAGGTGATCTTAAACAACTTCTTTTCTGTTGATTTTTTCAGGTCACTGATCTCATGCACAGAGCTTTGTACAACTTTTTAAAGAAGAGGTTTACTGGAAAGTACGTTGTTTCTTTTTTAGCCGAATTTTTTTTATGATAACAGTTCAGGATAAGGTCTATAGTTTGAATCTAATTCAGACTGGCAAAATCTTCCAACAACGGAATGTTGTATTTTTAATTAAAATTTTAAGAATTATATACGTGTTCTACTAGCGCAGCACATTCGTTACTGGGTTGGGACAGTGATACACAATTCCCACACAAAATCACACGTGATTTGCCACAGGGATGACCCCAACACCAAGTGACAACTGACTGTGTATGTTACCTTTGCGGAGGTGTGGTGCTCTCATGGCTAGTGCGCTCGCCTCCGGACCGAGCTGTTCATCAGGTTCGAGCCCTAGCTGAGGACATTGTGTTGTGTTCTTGGGCGAGGGGCAACCCTGCGATGGACTAACATCTCGTCCAAGAGAAGTAGAAATATTCCTAGTCGCTTTATACAACTGAAACCGCTTATCGTATGTTAACTTTACCACAATATACTTTCAAAGTGAGTTGCTAGGAAAGCTGACCAAACTGCTTGCTGGGTAACAACCTTAATCGATTAACATTCCATCTAATCATAGCACGCCTGGTTGTTTAATGCTCCAGGGAAAGCATATTCAAGCCGCGGTGCTGTGTAATGGCGTACAATTTGCTTGCATACAAATAGAAATATCATGTTTAGCATCCTTAACACCGTGTGTGTCTCAACAGGATATCAGTTTACAGAACACACGCGGATATTGGGCTGTCAAAACGATCAAAAAACAATCCCACAGAGAAGGAAAGATTTAACATCACCAAGACCGGAGGGCCACGGATGACAGGTAAGAAAACAGTAAGACCATGTTCGCTCAAGCTGGGTTGTGACTCTATATTACAACAAGACAATATAAGACAGGCAGATGATTTAGTTTACACAAATTATGTAGCCCAGATTACTTATTTATAATTTTTTCAAAAAAAAAAAAAAAAACTCATATTATCATGTATGTTCATAATACTTCTCTTATAATCATATTCAGAATACGTAACTAATGCTTGTTAGCAGCTTTTTTAAATATAGTTTTTAATTTTTTGTGAACAATGTTGTTTAACTGTAACTTATGCATACTAATCATACAATTGTTGCAGTTTAAACAACTCGTTAACAAGGCATTTGATAAAATTCGACAGCTGAGGTGCAAAAAGAAGTTGAGCGAATCTACGAACTTACCAAGGGTCTCAACATGGTCGTTATTGACTGTGACGTCATCAACCACCCATCCCAGCTTATGGACTGCTCTTTGGCACCCATCGCTGTGTACATCAAAATGGAGCCGCAAATTCTTGAAAAATTAGTGAAACTGCGTGGCTCTAAACGGAAAAATTTAGGAGCTCAGGTTGTAGCCGCTCAGAAACTTGCACAGTGCAACGAGGTGAGAAATATAATTTAAAGGAGTCACCTCACGCTTTGCGTATCTTAAAACTTCCAGGCTAAATCTTTCAAGTTTGCCGTTTGTAATCCGTAGTAAATCTTTGCCATCCTTGACCATCCTTGTTCCTTCATGGTTTATTATTGTCTTTTTGGCGTTTTTCCGTTTTTCTATCTTAGGAAACTACTATTTTCAGTTTTCCTTAAATTTAAAGGCGATTTTGCACGAGGCCAAAAGAACTTAAAGTACCACGACTGAGCTCCTTTAAGTCAAAGGTCTTAACAGGCGATTCTGACAAAAATAACCAGTCTTAAAAAGTCGAAGTTTGTTCCTAACGAATGGTTTAAATGATTGCAAAACATCGATTTTGATAACCTTAGCTTGATATTATTGAAGCAGATATATTTTTTTCATATCCCTTGTATTTTGAAACAGATTTACATTATGTATATTCCTCGTATATTCTTGATCACGTAGAGACCTGTTTTGTGCCATATTTTGTCTACGTTTTCTTACCTTGCCCCTTCTTTGCTGAGTTTGTATCTATTGCTGAAATTAGAAGTTTCTTTTTGTGTAGCTGATCTGAATCAACTCCTTACATACCAGGATGATACTTGCAATATAAACCTCTTCTGATAACTATTCCCCCAGTGTTTTTTAGACTATCTTTATTACTTTCTTGTTTTTTACTTTATTATTATTATTTGTATTAGTATAGGTAATCATACGGTTTCGAGTTCAATTTAGAATTAATTTACACGAGTGAGTTTTTCAAAAAGCTGAAATTGCACCAGCCGCTTCGGCAAGTGTAATTTCAGCTTTTTGAAAACTCACAAGTGCAAATTAACTCCAAATTGAACGAGAAAACCGTATGATTACTTATTAATAATATAAACATGAAAAAATTCGCGCGGAGGAAGTGCCGGAAGATCTTTCTTGAAGCCATTTTTTCATCTACAACGCAGTTCATATATGAATTATTTCATATAAACTTCACATCAGAGAAAACTTTTTTCAAAGTGTCAGCACAAAATTTTCGTCATCATTTTACGTGATATCAATTTCTCAGAAACGTTCCTATTGTCTTTCAGTCAATCATAATCCAGAATTGCGATGTGTAATTTGCACTGGTGTTACACTTTTTGCACTAATGTTACACTTTTTACACTGGTGTTACACTTGAACTGCACTGCTCTTAGCCAATCAGAATCGAGTAATTTTTTCGTGTGTATTATTATTATCATTTGTATTATTATTATTAATATTAATATTATTATTATTTTCCGTATATACGAACAAAATAGTAGCTAGAAATAGCTGTTGTTTAATGTACAATGTAAAGTTAGGTTATCACTAATATTTTATTTCAATACTTCAACTCAGGAAATGTTTGATCTAATTCTTGATGAAGCCATCTTTGAGGACGCCTGCGAGCACTTGGGTGAGTTTTTAGATCAGTATTGGAGGGATCTTCACCCGAGTGACAATGAAGATGGGGCCGCACCCTTATCTGAGAAGATGCCTCTGCTCCAAGGACCTTCCAGGGTTCCTGCCCTCAAGGTACCAAAATCCATAGTTTCAAATCTATATTATTTCAGCAAGCATTGTAACGAGATTTGTAAACGTTTTTCCTAAATCTCGGGTAGAAAAAATGAATGTGAACTTCGTTACATGCAGCCAAGAGAGTGCAAAAACATTCAAGTGACCATGCACAGAATAAATAGTATACTGAGTCCTTAGCTAGGTCCAGGTCAAACCTCGAACTTCAGATGAGACGATCCGAACTAAACCGAGCGAATCAAGTTCATGATAAGTTCGACGTTTGACATAACAGAGTTCGTCCGATGAATTTAGATTAACCAACACGTTCTATTCGTCTGCTAAATTAGTATAATGTTCGACGTTTGACCGCAACGGTCAAGCTTTACCCGTTTGGATCGACTCAAATTGCAATTTAGTTCGTCTCATGCGAAGTTCGACGTTTGACCTGGGCCTTAAACTTAACTCTAGTCTCAAAACACCAAGCGAAGAACTATCTTGAAATTGCGAACAGTCAAAACCTCATTCCTCCAAACTCACCAAGTTATTGTTTTGACCAAATTTAAATTTCATAAAGTTTCCGACAAAGCGCATTTCCTTCTACTTTCGAATTCTAGTCAATCGGTGTCACATGTGATATCCTCCTAGTGATGGTAAAATAACATGTGTTCACTACAGGCTCCATTGACCAGTCAGAATGCCACCGGAGCGAAGCAAGGTGTTCAACAGCAAGGCTCTCCAGTGAAAAGTCCTCAGCAGCAGGCTGGGCAGAGGTCAACACAACATGGAAGCAGTCACAGAAAAATGGCTGTGACTGGGAATGCGCCTGACTTCGGTAAGAAACTCCATGAAGCATTCCAGAGCTCACAGTCTTACCAAGCAGAACCTGCATATCAATCTGGTTACAATTCAGAAGCACAGTATCACCAACATCAGCACCAGAATCAGAATCAACAGCAGTATTATCCCCAGGAGGAACATTACGGGCAGGAGCAAAATTACGGCTCAGAAGGGTATGGGCATCAGCAGGGTTACACATCTGAGCCCTATCATCAGGGGTACTCCCAGCAGTATGGTCAAGATAGCCAATATGGCTATGGACAATATGGACAGGACCCCAATCAGGGGTACTCCCACGGGTACGCGAATGAAAACCAGTACCCCGACGCTTACTACGACAGAGATCCAAACGTGGGATACCAACAGCACTACAATCACGACATGGAGAGTCCCTATCAGCAACGGCAGGACTGGTACGAAGATTCTAGCAGCTACTATGGGAGGGAGGGGTACTACCAGTGAATTGCATTGTGAATCATGAACAGTGTCAGTGGATCACTGATGCACTTTCAATTTTGACATTAAATTTTACATTTGATAGCTACTAATTTATTTGCATACAATGTGTCTTTGTTCGAATTTGGAGACCGTAATTGTACAATAGAAAAGAATTTCTTCAATTTGCACCTTTTGTATTTATTTTGGAATGATTCGTTTTTCAATCATGCAAAGTGCATGCAACATAGGATTGTCAAATGTCAAAATACAGCTTAGAAATAATGCGTTTATAGAGTCAGAGTCACTGACTCGCCAATCAATCGTATGCGCTCGTTAAGTAGCGAATTAATAAGCCTGCCGAATGATACGGCTAACTAGAAAAACCAAACAACACCTGTTTGGGTTTGGTATGTAAGATCCTCCGCCAGACCTGATAGCTGGACGGATCCGTGCATCAAACATTGCATCATGATAACGCTTTATCAACTGATCAAAACCTTCGCACAAAATACTGAATTTCTTTTCCTTACGATATGGAGGAGTTTTACAGTAACTTTTAGAAATAAAGGCAAGTTAGTTAAATAACAGGGCCGTTTAAGCTACACAACGAATTTGTAGAACGGTTTTCAATAGTAGGGCAATGTTTTATTTGTTCACTTGTAGCACTTTGTTATGTATTCTAGCAATCAATTCAAAGCATTTACGCACGTCGGGTTTTCCCGCGCTTGGCACTGGGTGCATGTTTCAGATACGACTGCTGATTGGCTTATTGTATTGTTTGTGTTTGCTCTGATTGGCCAATTAAGATGGCTTTGATTACGGTTTTACGAGAGTTGGTTATCAGAAAGCCGCTCCATTAACTTTGCTATAACAGACTGCTGTTAAGCGGGTCGTGCTGCGAATATTTAGTATACGTATAGGATCAATGTCATCTGGGAATTTTGTAACTGCATGAACTGTTGTTAATAGTTTTCTCGATGCAACAGATTACAAAGCTGCCTAGCTTCTCTGTTGCCGCCTCGGGGATGAAGAGACTCTGGAATTCAATAACACTTTTTGGGAACCGATTGGGTCGATTGTTTGAACGAACGTTTAAGAAAAGTTATCGTCTACTAAGTTTGAAGCAATAGTCGCACCTGTTCTGGAATCACGTCTAAATGCAGTTAACGTGGACAGCGGTGCATTCACTTTGAGATCATTACTACCTTGTCATAGGTAGGAAGTGCAGTTAAACGCACATGTACAATGCTTGGCCCTCTAGTTTGGAAAATTTATAGTAGAACGGGTTCTAATATGAAGAAGCGACGAAATATACAACGCTTGCTGAAATATTGCCTTCTAATCAAATCTGTCGAATGCATTTGTGGAATAAAATTTTGTATTTCGAAGATGATTGAAATGACCAGTTATTGACTATCCTCCCCCTACCCCACCCGCACGCAATCTTTTGATTGTGATAAAAACACTTTGTGACTGAAGACAAAAAAAAAAAAACAGCGAAGGGTGGGGGAGAGGGGGTTAAGTGGGGGTGGGGGTTAAGAGGGGTAAGGGGGTTGGGGTATCAAAAAAGTTGAGTTTGCCCCGTGTCGAAGCATCAACCGTCTGAGGACCTTTCACCTTGAACTACCTTCTAGAAAGTCTTTCGGCACAATCTCTCAGTACGCGCTAACCTGTCACGTGTCTGCGTGGTTGTCAGTGTTAAACAACGTGCTTGATTGACGGTAAACTGAGGCTAAACAGTGCTGCTTCATGCATTCCAGTCTTGTTTCTTTTCAATCTTGTTTATTACTAAACTACTTATTTTAAACATCAAAACTTCTGATTTACCAGAAAATAGCAAGACCGCTTCACTAACTTGGTCCTGAAGAACATTTCTGGATGGCCTCTGTACGACCAAGACATTAAAACAAGCTATTAGCTTCTAAAAGCGAGGTTTGCGTATTCTTTCTACGTTGTCAATAACTGAAATTAAATACGTCGGATTTCTTGATTTCAAAACAGGTAGTTGTTTGACCATTTCTTTCAGTCGCTGACTTCAAGGCTACTTGCGAATTTTCATCTCTAAAGTAACACTGAACGGTTTACTGGAATAGTTCAGTGCAAACTCCACCAATTAACCTCGACGGATCAGTTAAAGGTGTTCAACACAGAAAACGACTTAACACATTCGCCAAACATCCTCGTCTTCTTCGTAAATAAAATACGTGCTTGCCAAGTGGGCACGCGTCAAACTGATTTCGTTCAATGAGCAGGCTATTCTGGGGGCTTTTCATTGGCTTTCATAAAGGTCAGCATCTCCTGTGCACGTGATGAACGCGTGTGAATCTCGTGACAAGTTCTCAAGACAATGTCTCTACAAATTACTACTAAATTATAACCATCTCGTTACTCAAGTGAAAATATCGCTTGTGATCCCGTAACGTGGGGTTAGTGTGTTTATCTTTCAGCCTAAGCCGTATCCCTGGCACTGAATGGCTTGGAGGAGCTTTCTCTTCAGGATTTTCTTTGATGGGTACAACGGAATGCTCATCCGCTGACCGCACGTGGTTGCCATGGGTAACGCTTTGGTATTTCCACTGATAACGTCCACAGTGATATTGAGGTCTGGAAAACAAAAGAGAAAAAGAATTGTCATTATTGTTTTTGTATCAAACAAGTGGCCTTTTTTTCCTGGTCTAATTTCAACAACTAGTGTGACCTCTATTCACAGTCTCGCTTCCACTAGAACTTGATTTCAGAGATCTTATCGAGCCTGGAATTACGTCGGTATCTCGTGGCAATATGACATTTGCTGATGACGACATGCTTCAAGGTATGAGAGTTCTCGAGAACTAGCGGACATACAGGAACTTTGTCACGTCTGCAAGTGCGGCGACAGCCGACAAAACCCTACACAACACTGATTACTTAGCAACCACTGACAGAGACTGAAGGCTTAACCAGAGAAACTCAGCAGCTCTTCTCGCTCATAGACAAACCATGAATTACTGAATGGTACCTTGGTCAGGATCCCTTCTGTCGGACAATGCTGGAAGCACTGCACTTCCTGTACAGAAGTACAACAACTGCTGTCTTTGAAGAGGAGTCATCTTCTGTACAATGGACCAGAACCACCTGGTAAAGCCAACACAACAAAGATGAAGGTAAACTTGAAATCAAAGTAGGTGAACGCCTTAAAAAGGGTTCTATAGCTATCCAACTCAAGCTAAGGTAGCAGTTTGCAGGAGAATGGTCAGCTGAAAATGCAACGTTTGACGACACTTGCAGGAAGTTGTTACCAATCCAAAAGTCGAGGAATTATTAAGCTTGAAAGCAAGTTGTCACTTACCGTTTGAATCTGTCGAGTATATCAGTTGAACAGCCATTACTGTTGCTGAATGTGATGACGGAACGAAGACGGTTTATGTCCACATCTGTTGTACCACCTGACAGCAACAACTGAAAATCCTAAACAACATGTGAAGATAGAGAAAAGAAAGTTGCGTGACTTTCACAGAACAACCCTCATCACAAGTACAACGGTCAAGTATCTTCTCTCTGATAGGACATACATATATGCTACATTTCATGCAGTTACCACCATGTCAATATTGACTATGGTCGCACTGCTGAAAATATGACCGACGGCTCACCTCTGGTGTTAGAGACGACAAGAGTTCTGATGGGATGACGTCATGCAGTCCGTTTCTCATTGCTCGCAGCTCACTCTCAACACAGCCGATCATTACTTTAGTGGCATATAACCTGCAAAAAATAACAATAATGAAAAACTTGCATCAGTTCTATTTCACAAATCTTCCTTGTTTACACGAGACCTATACACGCCTTCAGGGTTACCTGCACCATATTCAGTTACGCTCTTGAGAGGAGACAGACATTGTGAGAGTAAATGTCTCGTCATTGCATTGACCTGGGGCCTGTTTCTCGAAAGGTCCAGAAACTTTTCGGGTCCGCAAAGCCATTTTTAGTTGATCTTTTTCTAAAAACAGAGAGGTGCATACGCCTGAAACTTCTTGTATGAAGAGAACCTCTGTTCACATTAAAAATACGTGAATAACAAAGCTCTGTAATCAGAAGGTTTGAGAGTTTGCTACGGCTTTCCGGGTGCGAAAACTTTTCGGGACCTTCGAAAAACGGGCCCCTGGTCATGGGCAAGACACTAACCACATGTATTAGCTTACAACTTATTCTCACTGCATAGCGCAGTGAAAATATTTTACTAAATACCGATACGATATGACAGCAGGCTATGCTAGCCAGCGGAGTTAAAAGATTATTCATTTGAAATATTTTACCCCTGCAGCCTTTCCACTAGGTCAATAAATACACAGTAACATTGAAATACGTATATCTTATTAGATGTTTTGGTGTGTAGTATCGTTGTATATTTTTACGAGTCAAAATACAAACAACGAAACACCAAAACATCTAACACCAAACATCTAATAAGAGATTTATTATCCAACAGCTGTAGTCAGTAAATTTATCAATGAAAGAGGGAGAGTGTGACAGTTTTGCGTGGGCGCGCCGACCTGTACGGCAAACAGGTTTTCTACTGTACAATATCGCTGTATATTTGTACTGTTATTTGGACAGTAACCGCTGCAGTTGGACAATAAACATTATTATTACCTGACGTATTTGTAGATGTTTTCAGGCGTCACAGGAATATGCGAGCCTCCTGGAACCAGTTCTTCTGTAGTACCGCCGACCGAGGTCTGATGGCAGAAAGTGAAAGGCAAATTATTGTCTAGATTTGTAAGAAGAATTCTTTCTACCTCTCGCATGCAACTAAGCAGGCATCGCATAGCTCTAAAGCCCTTCAATCGACGACCTTTAATTCCAAAAACTGACCAACATCTGACATCTTCTTACAATACCAATATCAATCGTCAAGTAGACATGTTATGAGAATAAATAACATGATCGATAATAGGACATTTTCTTCACATGCCTCATTCGGCAAAAAGAACATTTAAGAAATGATCAATCATAAAAATGAAGAGAAAATTCTAACTTGAAAAATTCACCTCAAAATGACAGCAGTAGGTGGCCTGAAAGCGCTCTGACGTCATCATTGGGTGATGACTGTCAAGAACCATACGACTGAGACCCTCAAACAAGTCAGCATTGAAAAACGCAAGGTCTTCCCACGTGACATCCCTGAATAAAACGAAACAACAATCATCATGATGAAAAAATGTAAAAAATTACTTTGCCAACAACGTTATCTGACAGATACCACACTGAACCAAGTGAATATGTTCACTTGCATTCTTCACTATCTACGGGTATATTACCGACTCACAATATGACCAGCTCCCAGTTGGCTTGATAGCTCAGTTGGTAGAGTACTGCATCGACATCGCGGAGGTCGCCTGAATTTTTTCAGGTTTTAATTTCACAACTGCTTAAGGTGAGTGTATAACTGCGATGATCAACCATGTTTGTAGATACCAAACGAAATTTAAACGTATCACTGGGAAATAACAATCACGACGACGACCTCTACCACAGGACTAAATACAAACTAAACAGTTAAATGACTCTTCTGTTATCACCTCAGATCAATACTCGTGATAGCGAAGAGGCATAATGACTATCACCGAATGCGAGAAGTTAAATGAAGATTGTTCATTTGATAAGCAATGCAGAAAGTGCTCTAGAGAAAAATACCTCTCCAATAGGAATTTGACCACGTGGCGACTGAAGTTTAGTGGAACAGTGTTGCTGAACCAAAGACTCAAACCAATGAATCGTCCAATGGCTGTGAACATCTTCAGGCGATTAGTCTGAAACAAACATGAAAACATGGCCAAATAAGACGGACAATACGAACGGAACCTTCAGAGAAGTTGCTAGGGAGCAACGCTTATGGACATGTTCTGTGACGTCACGCGGGCGTGACAATTTTCAGAGTGTTCACAGGGATTTGTACTAACGTGTGATTGACTGGCAAGAATCAAAAACTCTTTAAGAACTACTCCGAGACTTTGCAACAAAGAGTTTGTTTCCTGTATAAAGTTGTGATGTTTTTCTTTTTCGCTTTACCGAAACTGGAGAGTTTCTTTCCCACAGCGCTCCCTTCAGTTATTAACTCATCAAGATCGAAGATAGTTACCTTAGTGTGATTTTCCTCCGGGGATTTCTCTGAATAGGCAAATGGTTTAGGTGCATAGAAGCCACTCTGCTCTGGTAACTTGCCTGGTTCGTGGAGTAGAGTTGTGGTTTCCATTGGCAACTGCAAATCAGATGACACTGTTAAGTTAACTGCCTTAGCTGAGAAACAATGCAAATAACACAACGCAATAAACATTTTCCTTCTTCAGCCCAAGTTTTCTGTGTGTCTATAAAGTAAAGGTAACAATGACCAATTAAAGGTGAATAGTCCTCGTTTCAGCAGTTCATCAATCACGGTTCCTATGGCATGTCAGGGTGACGTCATCAGCCACGGTTAAGTCGTCAGCCACGGTGACGTCATCAGTCACGGTAGTCACAAGAGCGTTGTGCGATTTGCGGACTACCTTTGATAAGTTTGATGATACCTTTGATGTTTGTGCACAATCCTTAATTTAAAGTGGCATAAAGTGTCGTACTTAACCTTTTCATCCGTTTTCAATGCATTCGCCACTGCAGCGAAAAATCCTCGGTTAACTCCAGGCCCAGACCCCTCCTCTCCCTCGAATTTGACTCGTAGGTTGCTATAGTGAAATGTGGACATCTGCAAGATAGGTTCGGAGGAGGAAATTAGGATTCAGTTTAAGGCCAATCTAAAGATATCTACAAACACGATTTGTCACACGAATAACAAAAAAGGCTATCTTCAGCGAGTCCTGGTAATATCAGAACTAAGAACTTGCGACCTTAAGTTTTTGTTTTACAAGTGAATAATAGCAGAACAACTGACAACAGAAGTGCTTCACAGAATGGCAGCTGGTAAGGGAAACTATTTCCAATAAACTCGCCCAAAATTGTTGTGTAAAAATCTTTGGTAGACCTCTTGTGTTGCGCCATGAACATTACCTCTCCAAGTATTCTCAGAGTATTTTCCTGGATCTTCTGCCTCTTGATTGACAGTGAGAGAGTGGTACCGACTCTCCCGCCCAGTCCTCCATAAACACCAAGCTGCTGAGATTCGCTTGTGATGGATTCACGAAGATAAGAAGCAGCGCGACGGAACCTGAACAGAAAAGAACACGAAAATTACAGTAGCTTGTTATTTATTTTTAACCACTCAATAGCGGCTATATAAGCATACACTGCCGTCCAACTCGTGCGGAACCAAACGCGCATGCGTACCTGGCCAACCTTCCCGCCACACCAGCACGTGCTGCTAGGAAACTGTCTCTCTCGGCCCCAGGGCCATCCGCCAGAAAAAGGCGGGAAAACAGATCCACAGAAATTTTCCATCTGCCTATCACTTGATCAGGTGACCAATTCAGTACTAGGGGAGTGGTGTAGGTATGTCTACAAGGAAAAGCGATAAAATAAGCAACAGCTTTTATGTTATCAGCTTAGGATACAAGTAGGTGTGAACACTCTCACAATCCGTATAGAACTGATTAGTTCATTATAATTACTTACATGCCCATCGCACTAAACGTGGTCGGCAGCCCAGACTCCTCATCAGTCTCCCTCTGTGACGCCATCTTTGTGTCGTCACTTGATTTCTGACGAGCCATTGTCACGTTATGTGTAAACACTTCCCACGATGCTTTAGGGACCTTGGGGAATTTCTGCTGTAGTGTATCCTGCAGACTGCTTAGAAACTTCTCCCTGTCCACGTGTATCACATCCATTCCAAAGAACTTCAAGATGGCTTCTCGCTCGTAGCTGTGCCTCCGTCGCCGCTTGGTCTCCGTGTTGGGGGAAGGCCTAGTTTCTAGGCCTGAGGCATCTTCGTGCTGCGAAGGCTGAGAGGAACTGGGTCCAGAATCGTCTCCATCGTGACTCGACACAGAGATACTGCGGTCGAAGCTTACTCCAGCGCGAGGCCAGTGCGTCATGGAGTAAATAAAGGCATCCAGGACATACACAGCATGTTCATAACTACAAGGAATACAATTTGAGTCACATGGTGAAGAGGAATTCTGGTAAAGTACGGAAAAAATGTAACCAGATCATTAAAGTCTTAAGTGATCGACCGAAGACTAAGGCTTTCGGGACGCCTTGCTTGACCTGCTGGCATGCCGACTGGACAATTTTAGTCATACTCGCGAGTTACACGAATGCCTGTTCAGGCAATCAATCTGGCAACACAAAACTGATCGCGAAGTTTTAACAAAATATCTGATTCCCAAAACCACTCACCACAGCATATCAACAACAGGAAGTGAATCACACCACTCACCACAGCATATCAACAACAGGAAGTGAATCAAACCACTCACCACAGCATATNGCAATCAATCTGGCAACACAAAACTGATCGCGAAGTTTTAACAAAATATCTGATTCCCAAAACCACTCACCACAGCATATCAACAACAGGAAGTGAATCACACCACTCACCACAGCATATCAACAACAGGAAGTGAATCAAACCACTCACCACAGCATATCAACAACAGGAAGTGAATCCTTATGCTCGTTGTTATGAGCTCTCAAAAGAAACATTAGATACTCCTCAGGGGAGGCCCCGGGGATAGTTGACACAGTCCTTGTCAACATGGCTAATTCCGTGTCTTCAGGGCGCTGGAGTGAGGCAAGGTACCGCTGAAAAGCAACAAAAAGATTCAACTTTTTTGATCACAGCATTGATATTGCACAAATTTACATCGGTTAGTATAATTAGCTTAGTACAATGGTTAGCATGATTAATGCTACAAGAGCAATTAAGACAATTAGTATAAAATGCGATCGATATTATTGAAATACTAAATAAGAAAATTAGAGGCTACCTTGGTATCAAAATTTTTCCCCATTCTAAGTTGCCCTTCAACCACATCCAGCACCCCCGCCAGCCACGCCCATGACTTCTCCAAGTTGGACATGACAGAGTTCTGAATCGACTGGCACTCTTCTTGTGCTATCGACAGAGCGGGTAAGATGCCTTCACTGACCGCACCCTGTTGTGGCGAGGCTACAGTGTCCTGGGAGAGTGTGGTCATCAGGTCCAATGTTTCCTTGACAAGGCGTGAGAACATGCGAGTCAAGTAACAGTTTCCAGTGTGAACGCTGGGCGGGGAAATCACGCTAGTCGCCAACTGTGGAAGCTATAACCAAAGAACGTTTAGTTCATTAGTATACCGTACACTACCGGGGAATCCGACGAAAAGGAAACACGCCCCACGGGTATCAGTAGTAATCCCACCACTAGTACCTAAATCACAGGGATAGCACCGGGGAACGGACCTATCTCGTGACGAACCTGACGAGAAAAAGAAGCAACCTATACAAAATTAGACGCCAACCAAATGTTACATCTAATTTGCTACTCGCCTATTAACACTGGCACCTAAATCCACAAGTTCCCAATAAACAATGGGTAAATTGTCACATATGACAAGGGACAGGGGCCCGTGTAAGGGATTCTTGGGTCTGCCCGTTAATATTCTCGAAGTATGGTTTGGTTTGTTGAGCCTTACATGAATATGTCCAGGCATGCCGTTTCCTTCATTTAAACTAGCAACGCGTCCATCCAAAGCCCACGCGTAAGGGTGATCATGGGTAATTCCTGTCGCCATGGATACGGACCGCCGATCTGGTTCGTCAAGTTCCATATCGCTGTCGCCCTCGCCGCTTAAAGCTCCAATATGATCTGCGTCGTCATCGGAATCACTGTCGCTGTCCAGAAGAGAGCTCTTTTTGTTAAGGCCTCTTGAAAGCTCAAACGGAGAGGCCCTAAAGGGGCTCGGAGAAGGTTTCTTGTTGGAGGTCCCGGAAGAACCTTCAACAATGTTTGCTAATCTGATTCCACGGCACGATGAAGAATTTTCAGTGGACCTGTTCTGTTGAATCCTGGTGGATAAAGAGAAAAACAACATGTAAGGAACTGGAGTATGGACGACAGAACGGAAGACGACAGTTCAACAAATGAACGACAGGATTTTCATTCGTCTTTTCTATGCGACAACAGTTACGCAGTAAAAACCGCGTGTAAGAACCTAGGTTTTTTCAAGTTAGCCTCCATAGGTTCTTATATAAATGGTGTTTACTGTGAAATTACACTACCTAGGTTCTTAATCATCAGGTTCTTAATTTTTGCTTAAAAACCAACTTGTACTCATAAGTGTGGCCTTCATATTGAATCATTCATAGTACAGTAAGATAGTGGTCTTATAACACTGCCAGTGCTCTGCCTAGTTTTTGTTAACTTTTTCTGTATCGCTTGTGATGTACTGTATTATATTTCAAAAAACCTATATTTTGAAAATAAAAACCTGTATTGAGATTTTAGCCTAGAATGGTTCTTATGTGGAGGTTGCTTTAAAACTGGGAAATTTTAGCCTATCAGGTTCTTAAATTTTAGGTTCTTAAACGCGAGCTTTTAATGTATAATATGTTGTATTCAAATCACAAGGCATGACAATGAATTTCTCACTCTCCTTACCTCTGAGCTGTCCTAAGTGGGGGACCCTGCGTCCTGCCAGAAGGGTCATGAGGACCACTGACACGAATTCCTGCCCATCATAAAATAATCAGATTTTAAGATTTGTAAAATGACACTATGGTGAAGTTTGCACAACAACAACTCCGTATTTCATGCAAGTTACAGTATTAAAAAGCTGAGAAAACTAAAAGAGCAAACTTAACGATATTTGACAAATTCGATTTACTTACGCGTGGCTCACTTTCATTCATTTGTAACAAAACAAGAGACGACTGTAACTAAGAAAGGACTAGTATCTGTGTTCACGCAAACCAATCATGCATGTGTCTGCATGTCTCATCAAGCACACGGGTTATTTTTTGTGTTATTTGCTTTGAGTTTAGCTTTATGACAACTGTAAACGGTTTAAGATATCATTTAAGTTTAGTTTTAGTTTTACACCGAACTGATTTCCACTGTACTGATTTCCACTGTACTGATTAACAGAGTAAACATTTACCTGGTCTAAACCGGAACCTAGCACCCGGGAATCCTCCATTAGGGTTGGGTATGCTGTTACTGACTGAGGAGCCTGTGGAGCGGGCTTGAGGCTTAGCCACACCTTCCCTGACGGGAACAACGGAAGCCTCCGCGGCTTGGATCAACTCATGCACAGCCAGCCATGAAAATGAGCGCAAAATCATTCTACAAGGACAAACAATTGTGCGTGGTTACATTGAGAAAAGAAGTACACGTTGAAGCTATATGCTCTATGAAAATGTCCCAAAGAGTCAACTTAGCTACGGTGTAATCATTGGCTAACATAAAACTAACAATGAAAGGAATGTCAGAGCACCGACAACCTGAAACTCAGCTTACTTAAAAATTCACCATCGCGGTCGTGTGTCAAGTTCTCTGTGAAACGAAGGTTATGGTCATTACAAGTTGTTTGCACAGGAATAACCACTTATTAACCGAGAGTGAGGTCTTTACGGGAAAATCTCAAACCGAGACCTTGCCGTATTGACCGAGCGATAGCGAGGTCTATATTTTCCTGTAAAGACCGAACGTTCGAGGTCAGAAAGTTGTTTATTCCATGGTTTTGTGGTTTGTTTTTGCTGGCCCAAAATCGGACCGTGGAACAATACCCTAAAATTAGCCGATCAGGGTGCGCGTTATATCGGCTACAAACAAAAACCATATAACAAAGATGGGTAACGTACCACGATACAGAACGCATGTGAAAAGGTTGGTTTCAGTTTATCAACGTGTTAAGTTTAAAAAGAAACGGATTGAAACCCGCTAAAAAGGTACATTTACTAGTAATTGACAAGTTCACAGACGTTTGTACGTCAGGGGGCCGGGCATCTCTTGTCTCACCTGACTTTCCTCTTGAACTCCACATTGTCACTCTGAACGTTTCGGACATTGGACGCTGAAGGACTGGACCCGAGGCGGGTTCGAAGGTCAACATAGGATAAGCCAGACCTGCTGAGGTGTACAGCTAACTGTCGGATGACAGACCTCAGAAACTTGATTCCAACCATCATAGCAACATCCCTGGCGGTTGGAGGGATGTGTAGCTCACTAATCCGATGAGCCGCGTCCAGTGTCAGGAGTTGAGGATGCTTGTTCATTTCAGTGATAATAGTCTCCACAAAACTCACCAAGACAGCTTCGTCAGCATGAGAAAGCAATTCAAAGACAAACGAATCCAGGGAGCAAGACTCTATTGGACCAGATCGTGACGGACCTTTCTGGAGTGAACCACCAGAACCCTTTTGCTCCTCGGACATGTCCACGTCTGAGCCCCCAGCAGAAGTACCCATAGGGTAGTACCCCAGAACAGTTGACGCGACAGAGGGCCAGCTGTGTGTAAGTTGTATCAAAACAGGAAAACTCTCACTGGATAGATCATCAGGGACACTTGCTACAGTTGGTGGGAAACTCATCAAATCAGGCGCTGGACTGTCCGTGGCTCCTGCAGCTGTTGGGTCATTCCCACTGGGGGAAGCTTCATTGTCTACTGGCTTTGCTGTCTCATCAGAATCTGCTTGCACGCTCTGCTGCTGTGCATCTTCTGGTGAACATCTCCTCTCCAGTGCTGTCAGTGTATCTACAATGCTTCGAAAGCTGCTGGAGATGTCGTCGAGTTGAGCTAGAAGATTACTCTCCAGCATGGAGGCATCTGTCACACCTGTTATATTGATCTCAGCCATTATTTCACCGTTCTCGGCAGGTCTGGAGGTTTCTGGCTGAAGTCCAAGCTCCCGTTTGACAGTAAATGTGGAGTCTTGTCCAAACAAAAGGTTCCCGTATTTGGTGAGTCGCAGCTTCTGGCTGGCGTTCAGTTTAATCCATCGAGAATTATTGACCAGGAATGCCAAAGATGTGTCGCCTTCCTTGTTTCTGGCGGTAGCAATCTGAAAAACATGATCGACATCTGATATCTCTATACAATATTGGTAGTTAGCCCAGCTGACAGTTGATGAGAATTACGGGAATCATCAGATAAGGTTCAATTTAAGTAGCCATATGGCACCAAAATTAATTCTCAGGAAGTTCTACATGAGAATTTAAAATCTCTATCAACATTTTGGACTTGAGACTGAAATGTTAACACACGAGCATCCTAACGTTTTCGACAATAAATATTGCATATTTTCCTGTTCAAGAAAATAGAATTCCAATCACTCACCTCTGAATAGGACAAAAGACGAGAAAACAATTGGCCGATAAGCTTATCTTCGGCATCCTAAAGAACACATAATTACATCGGTTAGGTCTCGCTCGTAATTAGTACAAAACAACTCCCACTGGCTTAATGATGTTAAAATCAAGAACAAGGTACTTTCATAATAGGTGTTTACATCAGTCTGCATCGATTCCCAGTGTTAGCTCAAGAGTTCAGTCACGGTGTTTTGAGTTATTTTGGCCATGAACAAAATTAACTTTAAATCGAAGGAAACCTGAAATAGTGGTTCACTAAAAACACCATAGAAAAACACATAAGGGATAATAAGAAACCATACAGAAACAAGGATGGTTAAGGATGGGGAAGATTAAAACGGATTGCAAACGACAAACTTGAAAAATTTAGGCTAAACTTTTAACGATGCGCAAACCGTGAAGTAGCTCGTTTAAGCAGGAATTGTTTCCACTCACCACTATTTTGTCTTGCGTAGGATGATCAGTAAAGCACAGTGTCTTGGGTATTATCTTGGCCATTCCTTCAACATTGGACACATTATACACGCCTCCTCGGACACCCACCTCCATTTCTGTTCTCTCTGTCTCGTCATTTTCCACCTGGATAATTCACAACATCATCTTTAATGTAATACCACTATCATAAATGCACGCCTAGGACCTTCTAAAACAAGTCAGCCAACTTGTATTGACGATGTATCACAAGAAATGAGCATTATAAATTATTCACATTTTCACACTCAAGGTTCATGCATTTATACACTGAGGCCCCGTCAAAACTACGGGGGAGTAATTTGAAAACGCAGCTTTATTTCTACGGTAAGGCCAACCGTCCACACCACGGTGACGTCACGATAATCATGTGATTTCCCAGCCGAGTTTTCCTCAAACACCAATCCAAAATGACCGGTGATTGTTGCGTTTTTAAATTCTTCCGGAGTAACGCGGAAGGAAAACATTTGATGCGTTTTCAAAGTGAAACCTCCGTTTTCGAATTCCTCCGGCGTATTGTGGACGGGCCTAAGACTATTTGTCAACTCCATAATTAACCCTGAAAATAATACTTTACGTAAACAGTATGTCTTGTGTTATTTCATGTTTCTGACCCACCCCAGTGCAAAACTACTCATTTCCAACAAAAAGAAATTTGATCACAAAAGGCGGCCTTGATTGTAAAAGATGCACATGTACATGTATGGCGAGTATGGCGCATCTTCAAAACATTTGAAGTTCGTCGGTCCTGTTTGGTGGTTTTACATGAGGTAACAATAGTAACGCTCAAAGGTACATGTACTGTAGTTTTATACATCGCCAAACGTCCGCTAGCTACACGGGCTAAAACAAATAATAAACACTGCAATACAGTTTCTTTCATGCCTCTTGCTTAACACTTTCAGAGAAAAATAGGACTAAGTTGTTCAGGTCAATCAGTGGTAAATGTTGACATTCCAATGTACCAACCTCAGTGAGTTTAACATGCAGAACATGCTGTACTAGACTGGCAAGTCCTCCTTCAGGCGCTGTCATCTCACTAGATACCATGTGATGATCCATCTCGATCAGGGCTTGCCGGAGTTCTTTAGGATCAGAAAATGTCACCATACCTTGGGGACAACGAATAAGAAGCGATTTTTCTAAACATTTAACTATAAAAAATTGCGATAAAATATTTCTAAGCATATTGAGAAAGTTAAAAATTTTGTTAAAAAACGACGACGTTTCGACGTTGAGCTAACGTCATTATCAAGTCAAAATGATAGTTGGGGACAAAACGTAATATACAGAAACAATGCTTTAGTTCAGGAGCTCATAAGTTCTACTGCACAACGACTGCCTCTGAATACTGTACCTACCCACTCTGACATACACTGTAGCCACGTGAAAGAGAAAAGTTCCTAGCAAACATCAGCTCACCTGTTTGTGATTCTCGTCGACTGCCAACTACAGGAATTCGCCCTCCTCCTTCAACATAACGCCTTGACCATGGATGGCTATTGCCGCCTGATGTAGTGGGTGTTAACAGGGTTCCTCTCTTGGACTCAGCTGGTTTCTTAGGGATCTTCTTCACCTTACTTTTCCGAAGTTTCTCTACTAGTCTTTGCTTTGGTGTCTTGTTGCGACAGTACTAATACAAAAAATTAAGAACAAAAATGGAATTAGATCAGCCACATTGTACATGACGCATTTTGGAAAATTCGCCGATTTTTTTAAAGTTTATCGTTCGCAATCCGTCTTTTTGATTTAACATAAATGTAAGATTACTTCTTTCAATTGTTTTTCTACACTAAGAAAACTACTAGGTTAAGTTTTAATTTGAAAGTCTTTTTGATGGTCAGAAATATGACTTAAAATATTGCGCCATAGCTTCCTTAGTGACTGTTCTTTGACTTTGCAATAACTATTTAAATATACGATGCAATAACACCAAGTACAAGTCGTGTGCTATCCCAGGAAAAAGAAATAAAGGTGACAAACAAAACTTCACCTTTCTGCCCTCCATTGAAGCAGGAGGTATTGTAGCCCTGTAAGCTGATGGATATCTGCCTTGGAAAAGCTTCAACAGAATCCTTGGAGTGTAACTGGATGGTAGGTTGGTCACTGTCAGACTATTTCCTAGCCCACTAGGAGGAAGATTCTCCGTGCAAGCTACAGCAAGAGCATGAAGAGGTGTCATGCCGTTAAACGACTCAGGATAGATCATGTCCCTCATCGAACACTGCAAGTTTGGAGTGATGTTGTCTACAAACAGCAAACAAATAAAAGGTCAGAATTATGACCAATATCTGTTGTTTTTTTTTTAATGAAATCTTACATATGATTGCATATGATTGTACAATACCTTTATTACTCTCCACAAAATCCAGAATATAAATTGCAGCCTTAAAGTTGTGGCACTGCACTGCTGTCATGAAGGGAGTGTTTCCACGAGCATCGCGCTCTTTAAGCTGTAAATAATACAAGCAAATTTTACCAATAAGTGCATTCAAGGTGTTTGAAATGCGGCTGCTCTTTTCAGGCACAAGACAATTATGCAATGTTTGGTTCATTCATACCAAGGGCGCAAATGTACAATGAAATTGTTTCATAGGTCTTCACAACCAATGCTTAAAACCTTTGCTTGTTTTATGTTGCTTTTTCCCTTAACACAACAATCACATTTAAATGTTACTGTACTCTATCGCATATACTGTGTAGGTCTTACCATTGGCACAAGCTCTTTTGCAAACACTTCATCATTAAGCAGCATGTGTAAGCCAGCTACCTCTATTGGGAGACCATTTGAATTCACAGGATTTGCAGCTGTAGATGGACCTGCAGCTGGAAAACACAACACACGATAAATAGAAAGAATTAATTGAAAATTAATTAACACAACAAGCCTCTTGCAGAACCCTATTGTAAACATGAATGTACTTGTAGAGCAAAGTGTGAATTGACGGAAGAAAGAGATAAGTTAGATGAATATAGCATTACAAATTTCTGGTTACAAAGCTTGAAATTTTCAGAACAGTTGCTGGATGGAAAGCCCGGCCATTCCATTTGAGCTTTTTTAGATTTTTGAGCAATCTACATGTACATTTGTCACACATCATTTGAAAGAGAAACATTTTACCTGCTGCAAAGAATGTACATGTACATATACATGTATGTACTATTAAGGTGGCTCAAAACAGTTTCCAGCAGGTCATACTGTTGCTATGGTAACCTATTGTGTCACGAAAATGATAACAGCGTGTTCACCAATGAGTGGGCATTTTCTTGGTACCATGATTGTAGCATCAAGTGATAATTAGCGGTTATAACGACCCATTGAAATCTAACTGAAAACTGTTTTGAGCCACCTTAATTGACTTTTGAATGCCATGGTCACTACAAATTTAACATGGTTGCAGCCTGTAACAGTGAAAATTTTTTTGTACTATTAAAGTTATCAAGTTGAATTTTGAAACCATCCATGCAGATGTTCCCTTACCATGGCTCTGCACAGCATTCTGGATTTCAGTTGGCTTTTCAACAAATGTTGGATTGCCGCAGCAAATATGCAACACATTCTGGTTAGAAGTGGATTGTTGATGAAGTAGCTGTGTAACTCTCTTGCTGATAACAGTCACATGTCCTGTTGGTTCTTCATAAATCTGACCATGACTGTCTGTGACGCCCATCTTTTTGGAGCCCTTTGTGACACTTTTACTTCCCTTCCCAATATCTTTACTGTTGTTCAGCTGTTTAAGCCAGTTTAGCGCTCCCTTGATCTTTTGTACAATTCCAGATTGCACAGCTTGCAGAAGATGCTGTTCCTGAAATGCTGGCGAAAAAAAGACAAGGTAAAGTCTGCATACGAGCCAAGTGGCCCATTAGGTCGGCACTTATCTCCAGTTTCCGTAGCATGAAGCGACTAAGAGTTCCCCTGGATAGGATACTAGTCCATTGCAAGGTTACCCCTCAGCATTACTTCAAACACCTTGAAGTTTGTCAAAAATATTCTGCTACATTAATGTATCATACATTCAGCTCTTTTCTCAATGTTTGGAAATGTGGTCAAACGCAGTCTTTCATGTTTGATATATTACATCAAAATTTATTTGCTGGCAGATTTATTGCTGACTATTCATGATAAATTGTGCTTTATTGAATTTTTAGGGGCTTTGCAGGCTTATACATTTGTTTAAAAATTAAGTGACCAGTATATTAGAAAGCACGGTGATGGCACAGTAAAAGACAGAAAATTATACTGTTTCCAAGCTGTTAGAAAGCAGATTAATACTAAGCCAAAAATAATGAGGCATTAATTAAGAAATAGAAAACATGTACTGTGTTTTTATCAAGTTATAGAAACACAAGTGGAAGTTTGGGAGAATGAGAAATGCTGTGGGAACAAAAGCCACAGGCAAGTTCTCACAAACTTTTATGAGCGTTTCTATAACTCTATAGAAACACAGAGAACATGTTTTTAGAAAACAACGTGAAAAAAGAAACAACTTGTTAACTTTGATGATCAAAATGAAAATTCTCTTTGTTCACACCATCATTACATCAACAGCTTGTGCTAGTTCTGTGTTTCTATCAAGTTATGAAAACATGATTTTGTATTTTCTTATGGCTGTTTTCTAATCAACAAATCTAAATCATATATTAAATCAAGTGTTTGCTATTACTAACATATTGAGGTGTTCAATACTAGTCAAACTGAAAGTCAGAACTGAAAGATAAATATTGGAAACAGAAAATCTCACTGCAAAATTCAAATTAAATGTAATCCTAAATTAGCTCAGTTGTGCTTTGAACAACAGGACCTACTTACCTATAAATGCTACTAATACTCGTTCAGGTATAGAACTCCCTTCAGAACTTCGGCCTAATCTTGTCCCAAGACCAAAGCTATGCAGTGGAGGAATTTCCCCAACAGTTGGGTTTGACAACTTTGTGCCATAAGGCCTCGGATACAGGCAGCCATTAACATCAGTCAGCAATACAATGTCATATTCACTGGTGGAGTGAAGTAATGGAAATCTGTGACTGGAACAATGAAAGTTACATGGAAAAAGACCATCAGGGGTTGATGATTCATTTGCTGAATTCGCCTGTGCATTATTTGAAACACTATCATCATCGTCATCACCACTGTTTCGTCTTCTCTTTGATCCAGTGACTGGCTTCTCGTGTGCCATTGAATGTACCAAAGATGTTGGTATGAGAGCTGCTTCTCGGCTACTGATGGCTTCAGCATCCACTGTGCATGAACCGTCGTCATTGCTTGAGGAAATATTTACATCACTACTACAGGTGTAAACTTTACTGCTGTCGATAACTTGGTCCATTGCGGGTCCCAAGAAAAATGCCTTGCTGTCAGACAAGCGTTGGGCAACGAGAGAAATTCCTGCTGATGTGGTTGTCATGGCAACAGGCTTAAGACCAGCATGGACTTCTTTATTTCCCAATTTGGTTGAACTTCCAACAATACACTTGGGAGAATGTTGAATGCACCCTCTGTATAATGAACTGGTTGGTAACTGCTGAGTCACAGTACTTCCCGGACTGTCACTTAGTACAGACTCCAGCTCAGAGACTTTAAACACACGTAATGATGACTCTGATGGTGACACTGAACTGGCAACTTTGACAATAACATGAGGACCATCAATAGCGGCAACTGTTCCCAACAGTTTGTTCTCACTTTCAAGAAAAACAACATCCTTGACTTCCCAAATTTCACAGCCATTACTTGACACAGTTATACTCTGGGCTTTTCTTCTTACACTAGTGTGCGGGCTGGAGGATCTCACAGCATCACTGTGACTGGAAATTAATTCTTCTTCAACAGTTTTTCCTCGTGGAGTGATCTCTACTGGCAAATCTGCATTTAATTTTCCAGCCTCACCAAGAGATTTGTCACCATTGTCAATTTTCTTATTCAGTGGTTCAACCCTGATTTTTGTCACAGTAGTGCTTGGCCCTTCTGGTGACTCGTGACCAATGAGACGTCCTACAACTGGTCCCCTGATCTTACAACACTTGTAGACTAATGCGCCAGGAAATCCAGGAAAGTGCTGACGCAGCTGGACTTTTTCATTGACACCAATGTTACTAGCTTCATTGGTTGCTTTGTTCAACTTCTGCCTGAAGTTTTGGCGTTCTTCCGCTGGTAACAGTCCCCTAAAATCAAAAAAAGAAAAAGAAAAAAGACACATAAGTATTGAGTAAGTGACAAGACCCTTGCAGAAGAAAAGAACAAGATTGAGGAAAAAGACAGCACGGAAAACAAAAAGTGGATTAGTAAACGGTATTATAGAAAACTTCAGTTCAATGAAACAATATTCTGTAAGAATGTTCTTAATATCTGTACAACTGTATTTGTAACGTCACTGAAGGGCACAAAACTGTTAGAGAGCCTTACAAGTTTGAGATGAGACCAAAAAAAATAACATCACTGCATATGAAGATTGTTGAGACAATGCTACAAATAAAATGTGAGCTTACAGTAGTGCAACAGAGGCAGTATGGCCGAATGGTTAGTGGTTAAGTCCCGCTCTGATCACTAAGCTGGAGTTGTTTCTTGGTAGACCCTAGTTCAACTCCTTGGCCACGTCTGCCTAATGTCAGTTGGAATTTTCAACTATCTTATACGTTCATTTGCATTATTTGTTTCATCATTTGTTTCCATTAGCCCTGATAAGCCCATTGAGGGAGTGGTCAGTTAAGATATTTATTTTTATTTATTTATTGTGTTTGATATTGCTACTAACCTCACCAAAGGGATGAAGCATTGACAACTTGATTCTAATAAACTAGCTGATCACTACGTTAACAACAAACTAGGTTAAATTAACATTTACATGTACCACCACAATTTTAACTTTAACCGAGAAAGTGTGCTGACTTTATCAGAGGGTTTCTAACTCTTGAAATATCAAACCATGTCAGGGATGAAAAGAACAAGTGGTCCACAAAATAGCACTTTATACTCTAGTTAAGAAGTTACAGAAAGCACACACACAAAACTCACCACCAGAATATTTTACCAGACTGTGTCATTAAGCTTGAAAAAAATTCACTGCAGCTGAGTGATAGGATTTTCTCTCCCTGAAGTTCAGAGAATGCCATTGCAGGATGAGAGAGTTCCTGGATAAGGGCTGGAGGATCTCCACAGTTAGATTCTACATAAAAAAAAAAGAATATCAGTCTCATGAACAACATGTTAATGAACTCCGTAGTGTGCTTTTATAGAATTAAAATGTACAATTTTGCATGTACACACACCCCCACTCCAAGACAACAAACCAGACCTGTGCAAAATGTAAAATAAATGGAAAGATCACGCTAATGACTGAGCATGAGTCCATGTACAGTACATAGCAGTCTGTACATTCATCATATATTACCACAGTCTATTGAAAACAGTGGATCTCACCCACCTCTGAGAAGCTTGTCATAAAATGTGCAAATCTTTCCACTTGATGTAATGAGTGAGCAACGAACATTGGATGATGCCAGAAGACAAACTTCTTCACAGTCCAGACCTAATGCCTCTCCTAATGGGTGGGGCTTTGCTAATGGAAGGTACGTAGGTTCTTCGGAGGATGAGATCTCCATGGCAATGTCGCACGCCACATCACTTTCATATGGCCAGTGATAAAGGATTCCAGTTCCTTTCTCAACAAGTAAAAATTCTGAATGCATTGAGGTGATGTGTGAGAAAACAACTTCTTTACCCTGTTAACAAAATCACATAAGTTCTCATTACACATACTTCCTTTAAAGAATTTTATGTACATGTACTGTACACGATTTAACAGTTTTTCACAGACCAGTTATTTTATTAAAAGCAAAGTGAAAAACCAGTAAAAAACAAACAAACAAAACAAGGCAAGGTTTACCACAAGAAAACACTTGGCTACATGTATTAGTGCTTTACAAAATTTCAAAAATTTCCTATTTTTAAATCACAATAATTTTTAACCAAAAATCAGCATCATTTTTATTGATCTTTTTTATTCTAAGATCTGGTGTTTTGAGTATTGAGAAAAAGCCAGTATTGTTTGTTTGTTATTAATTTACACTGTAATTCACAAAGATTGTTTACAATTTATTAAAATCAATATTTTTTAGTCAATGATTTACAAATCTGAATGCGTAGGAATGTTATTAATAAAACTCAAAGATGTAGTTTCCCTCACATTTTCAGCTTCCAGCCATTGTAAGTCGCCGATTTCAGGATAGCAAAAATCTGCATCGCTGCTGCTTGTAGTTTTACTTTCAATGGAAGTCCTTTCATCAGGTCGTTGTATATTAGCAGTCGTGGGTCCCCTGGGAAATGCACCCACCTCAGCAAGCTGGGCCCTTACAACATGGGGCTGAAGATTTGAGCGTCTGGGCATTATTGGCATAGAGCCTGTAACTGGTAACAGAAAAGCGGGCCATTGCCTCGTATTTCCGGGAAAGGTTGTAGTAAAGACTGTCCGGTGGAGGAGAGTTGGTGAAGAGACTGAGCGGCGGGGGTTAGAACCAGCTGATAAAGAAGGGTCTAAAGCATTTTCTTGCCTTTGATTTCCTCTATCCGATCCTTTTGGTTTCTGATTTTCGGCTTTTGCTTCGCTACCTGCCTTTGTCGCACAAGACGACTCTACACCTTCATTGGAAGTATCTTTACTGAGATTTTCAGTTTTAATTGAGCTCGAAGTTTGCATAGCTGTATCTGCCTGTGTTTCTTGGTTACTTGACCCACTTCCTTCCGCAAGTGTTGAACTAGTATTGTTTGATTTTTCTAGTTCTTCTTTTCCTGTCTGGAATTCGCGAGAGACTGGAGTCTGAGTAGTCGCACTACTTGTATTAGGCATCCAAGACGCAAATCGCGGCTTAGTCCGATTACTTACAAAAACATTACCGAAACCAGATCTACCAGAAGCACGGAATGACGGAGACATCGCTGTTCCAGACACCAGCGATCGGCCGGGTACGGTTCCGCTAGTCGCTCCATTATTCAAAAATTCGTGTTGAAGCTGTCGTGCAAAGGCTTCGTCGCTTTGAACTTGAAAGAGTGGTTCTTCAGAGTTTCCCAGAGAACTCGGCAATTTCTTTATAGTATCAAGGTTTCTTGTAACACATTTAACCCTGCAAACACGTCCATCATTAAAAAGCAATCCCAAAAACTCCGGTCCAACTGCCACTTGAATTATTCTACTCGAGCCAAAATCTGGCAAACTTATACAATTTTTAGCCTTCTCCAATACGCTTCCATTGTCATTTGATTCCCCCAGCACCTGATTAATGCACTTGAATAGTTCATCTTCAACAGCGTCTTTTGATTTATCTTTGCCTAAACGAACAAAAATAATGCGAGGTGATAAATTTGTCCACGCATCATTTTCACTATTACCATTCGCCATGTTACTTCTGGCGTCTGAAGAATCGAAACTCGATCCAGGCTCCTCGCTACTCATAAAAAATCGTAATCTCCACGTGACGGGTAGAAAAGCTCCCTGGCAAGAAGAAGTACTCCAAGGGAGATAATATATTCCCCCTCCCCCCCNCCCTCCCCACCCTTCTCATCCCCGACTAGGCAGTCCAACCGTTTCTAGCCTAGGGTCAATTCCTAGCCCATGCAGGTTAAGCGCTGGGCACCAGTTTGATCCTGTCACGGAAACGACAATCGGATACCGCACATCTATGAGTTTCAAACAGTCTTCAGAGTTTTCGCAGCCTAATATAGCCGGGAAAGCACCCCCGAGCCCATGATGGTGCCACTTGATAGCAACAGGTCTTGGTCACTTTGAAGTAAACTGATCGCGCAATAGTGGCGGGCAACTTTCGAGGAGCTCCGAGAGCACACACTATCCGCTGATCGTAATAAAAATCGTAAATTTTCAGCGAGAGGGTAGCAAAGGGTTTTTGTGTGACGCGTGATCGCCCCAAAATTAGCAGCGTGATTCGTGATTGAGACCAAATTAACCGCGTGACGCGGGACAGGACATCATAACGTGATGCATGATTTGCTATTTTGCAAGCATACCAATTAGATTTCCGTGATAAGTGAACGTTCTTTGAACTAGAAGGATATCATTCATTCAAAGTAAATAGTAAATAGTCTTCAAAAATATCATCAAATCGTGGCAGACGTGACACCATTTTCTGGTCTTTGTCGTCCTTTTCTTGACCTCTGATGCCTTTGATTTTCGTGGATCTCATAGTACTATAGGTCCAAACAATTGTGATACAAATCATAGGAATAAGTCAATTGAAAATAATTAAACGTTGCACAAGGACTATGAGCTTCTGTGTTATTCTTGTCCATTTTGTCGACCGATCATTTTTGGCAGTGCATCGGACCAAGAGAATACGACACACCATATCCGAATCCGGCTATCGTACAAAAGGTCTGAACGAATTTCGTCCAAAAGGGCTGAAACGATAACACACATTAGAATTATGTGTCATTTTATTATACCGCTCGAAAAGACAGCTGCGTAAGCAACGAGAGACTGCACAAGGGAAACGTTTGTGTCATAAAGACCTAAGCCACGTTATATCCTTTACAGACAAAAAAACGTTGCCGCACAGAAAAGGATTTGCGGGTGTAAAGCTTTGACATTAGTATTGCCTGTATATTAGAGCATGGCAAGGTGGCGTAGAGGTCTTTTCAATTCGTGCACAAGATCTCTGCCAACTTAGCCTGTGAACAGGCTTCCGATTGTGTTATAGGGGAATCATAAAAATTTTTAACAAAACGAGTGGCTTATCGCGGTACACCTTAGATATGGATGTCATGAATTTCCTTTAAAGTACGCGAATTACGTACCCTGGTATTGGATAATAAATTGTATACCCAAGATCTGGATGTCATGAACTTCCTTTTGGGTAGGTGAATCCCACACAGATGGTCTCTTACTAATGATAACAAGAGTTTTTCTTAAATGTGTTCCAGCCGGGTTCCTTCCGATAAATCCGACAGTAAAAGTAAGTAAAGTAAAACTTTATTTAGCCACCGGGTCAGCCTTCGTGATAATGCTGGTAACATATAATGAATATTAAACTTGATTGAGGTCCTCAGAGAGTTACTCTCCTAAATATTTATTTTGTTTACGGTGTTTATTTATGGAGCATTTCTCCTTTGCGCGGGACCTCCTCCGGTTTTTTCTCTTTGGACTCATTGAAGAACGCCGTCTGATTATTGACTTCATTAAGAGCCTAGGACGCTTAGGCCCGGTCGTCCACACTACACCGGAGGAATTTAAAAACGCAACAATCACCGGTTGTTTTATACTTTTGTTTGAGGAAATCTCGGCCAGGGTAATCAGGTGGTTCTCCTGATCCTATCGTGTTCGAAAAGGTCCGTTTTAAAATGTTTTCCGTCCACACCAAAACTCAAAGCCGACCTTGTCAAATTCCTCCAGTTTGAAGAGCGTTCGAAAAGCTCCGTTTTCGCGACGGATTACTCTTAGTCTGCTGGCAGCCGGTTTTCTCTCTAAGGGTCACTAGGACGAGTGTTTAGCCATCGCGAACGGCGGTGGCCGAGTTGGGAAGAAGGCGGGACAAGGGCGGTATGGCCGAGTAGGGAAGAAGGCGAGACGAGAAAAACATTAAAACATTGGAATGTTCTTTCCGCCCTCGCTGGGTTAGTTCACTTGCCGTGCGTTCAGCCGTTCGAACGGATACCGTAAAGAACGTTTTCGCGTGAAAGGTCCCATATTTGCCGATATCAGGTCACATATTTGCCCCCAATTCAAAATAAGCTCCGCTATTCCTGATTTGTGGTATGAAATAAAAAAAAAATTCAGAATCGTATCCATCTCGCTCATATTAGTTCTGTTCTGAGCCTATTTGCTTGTTTTCACACTTTTTACAATAAAACTTAAATTAGGAGTAATTCCAGAACAGAAACCTAATCAAGATCTTAATCAAAAAAGATTAAACTGAAACAGGGTAATTTCTACGAAACATTCCGAAAAGCTGGCTACAGCTTTGGAGCTTTTTGAAACTCTGGTATATTTAGTATTTCCGGAAATTCAGCACTGGCGCGACTCAGTTGCACATTAAATACACTAAATTTTACTTTGAAACAAGAGTGCAGCTACGTTTAAAACGCGTATATATCCGGTCTTATTTCCTCATTTGCAACTTGGGTTTAGTTTGCTTTGAGCTTTTTTTTTATTGAACTAAATCAAATTTACAGTTTCAGATACGCTCAGCGGGATAGAAATTTGTCAACAGAAACTGTCACTGTCACTTAACGCTTATCTTGATGTTACATTTTTAAACTTTGAACAATCAGTTCACAATTGGGAACGGACCATTAATGAGGGGGATGGGAGACAAGCAATTTTCAAGACAAAATTCCAGCACAGCAAACACTGCTGAAAAAAAATTCGTGCAAGGGAAGCCGCATGAAAATAAAAATCGAGCAAGTGCTTTCTACTATCCACGTAATGAAAAAATTCTTGCGCAAGCTATTGCCCACCAAAAAATTCATGCACAACCTAAAGGTGAGAGAAAAAAAAAAATTCATGCTCCAGAAAATTGACTGACCCTCCCCCCACCCCTCAAAAATATGATGGTCCGTCCCTTACAGTAGTTTCAAACTACTAATTGTCTAGTCCAAAAGGGGAGAGGAATGGAGGAATGGTAAGTATCGCCATCCAGATTGTGTTACATCTTCTCATAAACAAACTGTTATGCATTCCTAAAACGATCAGTTGGCTCATTCCTATGTTTGCTTACCGCTTCACTTGTGATTTAAATTAGGAGAATAATTAGGAATTGCTCGATACAACAAAAATTCGAATGGTTATTAGCATATGCCGATGACCAACCTTCCGAATGAAACATTGTTATTGTTGTGATCTGAAAGAATTCAGCGTGTGATTGCGATTTACAGCTGTAACTAAATTTTCAAAGCCCAGAGGACTAAGATGTCTATAAAACAACTTGTTGTTTGTCAGCTGACAAGCTTTCGCTTCATCCCGCAGCCTGTGACGCCCCTCGCTGTCTGTTGTCCCACCTCTGAATCACAAATGCTCAACAAGATTCCTACATCATTTTTTCCGACCTTGATTTTTCTCTCGGTCATCTCTACCGGTAAGTACAAGTCACAGCTCATCGCGATTTGCTTTGAATCAGAGCGAAAGACTGCAAGATGTCGTCGATGCAAAAGTTGGTTTTATGAAATGATAACCCACTTTCGAGAGAACATTGTTTAATTTTACGACGCTGATTTTAAGGTGTGGTTCAGAGTGTTGTTTAGAATTGCTAATTATTGTAGGATCAATCCGAGACTTATTGCCAGCAGCTTCGAATTTGAATCACAAATGCAACTTTGAGAATTTTACGGGAGCTGTACGTACCGGCAGTTGATTCAGTCTGCCCGGACCGCGTGATCGCACGTGAGCACCTGGATCGCAATGTGCATACCACAGGTTTTTGATTAAACGCCACCACCGTTTTATTCCAAATTTGGCTTCGTGGATCGGGAATTTATTTGACTTTCCCAGTTTATTAGAGCTTGTTAGAGTTTTTATTTCTTATTTTTGAGAGCTTAATATCTTATAATAATACCTGCAGTTTATTTAACCTCGATTATAAATTCTTTGTGGGTCTTATTTACAAATCTATTTAAATTTATCTTAAATATTTCTTTCGCCGGACGAATGTCGCTGGATATTCGGCGACAATTTCTGTTAGTCTGCAGGTACGCCAACGAGCTCAGAAGAACTTTGAAAGACAGACATGTCTATGCTGTTTAGATGAGCAAAGTCACGTTACTTGGCTTAAGTCTAAGTTATTTATTGGCTTATTTATTTGTCAGAGAAGTAGCCCTTCCGCTATATTTTAACTAATAACTTTAGTTTGCTGGTCAAAAAATCATTTTATTTGTAAAGGCCGAAATTTCGCTGTAAATGCTTTTTTTAAATAAACTAGCGTGTTCTTGGTGTGTCCACTGTGCACACGTACTCGAGCTAAAGTTGATATTTTCCTACTGATAAATGTGGATATGGGCGTAGCCATGTCAGAATGATTTGTTTAGTAAACAAATTAAAGGTCGACACCGCTCTACGCCACGAATTTCACGATGGATGCGTAGTCCACGAAAATTAGAGAATGGACAGAATTCATGTGATATATCAAACACGAAAGATCGTGTTTAACCACATTTCTAAACACTGAGAAGGGAGTCTAAAATACGACGCGTAGCCGAGTATTTTTGACGAACTTCGAGGCGTCAGTTTCCAGTTAACACATCGCTGCTAATGTCACGAAACGATTTGTCAGTTGAAGTTTTGACCAGTGGTTGTCTCTAACTCTGTAGTTAACTATGATAATAATTATTAGTATAAATCTACTAGCGTTCTATCTCGAATGCCGTTCGCTGATTGGCTACGCTACTCACTATCTCTTCTGTTGTAGATTGTGAGTAGCCTAGCCGTGTGCGCTTGTTATCAAAATGACGGTCGATTCTTTGTGTTTCCGAGGTATCTGTCGAGAGAATTTAGATAAAGTTTTGAACGAAAAGTTGATTTATACTAAAACAATTAGATTATTCGCTCTTGAGTTCTATCGCGTGACAGTGGCTGGGGCTGCGCCCTCGTCAACTATCACGCGATATAAATCGCGAGCGAATAATCCAATTGTTTCAGTAGAAACTTCGTCCAAGTCGTATAGTAAGTAAAAGCTTTATTAATTATAACACGGTACCCTTTTCTCTTCAAGGTCATGGTTTGTGTTCGAAAGATGAATTCCAGTGTGATACCACTAAATGTATCAATCCAAGTCTGCGATGTGACGGCGACATTAATTGTCGTGACTTCTCCGATGAACTTCACTGCGGTGAGTAACCATGGCAACTACCTAGCTTTTGTGTTAGTTCGTGCTTTAGCACGTGTGTTAGTGGCTCATTCAGTCGTTCGTTGGCTCGTTGAGTCGTCAGTTCACTTGGTTAATGTGTTTGCTTATTAGTTTGTTTGGTTTGTTCATAAACTTCTATATTTTGAGTAGTTATCTATTTTTAGAATTTGACTGTTTTTTTAAGTTAGTTAATTAATTAACTCATTGATCGATTGATCGATTTTTCTTTTCTAATTTTCTTTTGAAGGCCCACTGAAATCGCCATGGCGAGTTGAGTTTCCCCATGAAACATAATTATTATTATTATCATCATCATCATCATCATTATTATTATTATTATTATTATTATATATTTGTTGGTCGTTTCTTCCTTCGTTTACGACAAAAAACAAAATACTTTGGACATCTACGTTTACTTAATAAATTAATTCTGATTCATTCATTCAAGAGTTTTTTTCTTTTTCCTTTCTGCAGATAAGAAAGGACCAAAGTTAAACGTCACAAACTTAACCATCCCAGCAAACAGAACATCATCACCCACCATGTCCAGTAACCTGACCACATCCCCACCCACTCCACCCAACAAACACAATGAAAACACCAAACCTGTTTCACCTAAGAAGACTAAGGAAGATAAACACAAGAAAAACATGAAAAAACGGATTTACTCCGATAACAACACAAAAGGAAAAAAGAAGCGTCAATTTTATAACAGAACTCCGGCTCGGTCACCAATCGAATCTTCGATAATGACAACGGACATAACAACATCAAGCGATGTGCAAACAAAGAATGTTGAGGCAAGGCCTGTCACGCACTGCTCAGTTGAAGAATGCGTGAAGTGGAAGGCTTGTTGGCGTGACATAGCGAGAACTCGCCAATGTGCTTGTGACGAGGCAGTATGCAGCCGAGGCTTAAAAACCAGTGCGCATGCGGGGAACGAGAACGAAAGGAAAACGAAAGGTGGGTCAGAAATGAGCCCTTTATAGCTCAATTATTTGTTCTCCCATTTCAGATTTTGGGATGTTAACGTTACTTTGGAAAATTACATCTTTTGGTCAAATCTGTTAAAATTTGTTTCTAAATATAGATTTTTCATATAGATTTTAGTAAACACTAAACCTCCTAGTTTAGTGTTCACTGATTTAGGAACACTCAATTAAAGAAAAAAGAAATCTGTTTAAGATAAAGTGTTAATCAGTCTTAATCTTTTCCAGTTTCAGCCATCTGTACTGCTTTTTTGGTTTATAATATTTGTTCTTCTAGCTCTGAAAATCGTTTTTTCAAGCGCTTCTTTCGACTCTTCACCAATCGCCTAAAAAGCGCGAGCCCCGTTATCTCATTCAGCAGCATTTAACAAACCACTTCACTTGCAGATGTGTTTGAATGGGTCATCATTTCCGTCTCTTCCACTTGTCTTATTGTGGCGATCACTGTCCTTCTTCTGAAGCGAAGAAGACTGCGTCAAACTAACGCCACGCCACTGCACGTGCGCACGGTAGTCTGCTATCACCATGGACACAAGGAGAGCGCTCTCTTAGGTCGAAATGTCATCATCCGTGACCAAGGAAAAGCTGCTACTGAAAACCGCCCCTTGTGCGAAGAGGCTCGGTGCCCAAGTCTTGTGGCCGAAGACGAAGGAAATGTTTGCTTCATCGATTTAACTGGTCAGCTGAAGTGCAACAATTGAGTGCGTGAAAAGTCTTGACTTGCCACCAGGAACAGATTTTTGAAGAAAGGATAGAAGTCCTATGAGATCCAGTTTTAGGATTGTCCTTGTTTCAACCGTACATGTAATTAAACAGAAAAGTTCACTTAGCTTGTAGAATATGTGTGAAGACCAAATGATTGACTTTGGGTTATCTTAAACGTTTTAAGAAAATATCGCGTAAAAGATTTACGTTGAGTAATAGCAAGATACACACGTAATTTTACTATTTACAGAAAAAAAATGTGTCGACTAGAACTTCGTTTGGTCTAAAAACAGACCACACTGTTTGACCACTTCTTTGTATTAATTTAATTACATGTAAACGGTTAGAAAAGAAAGTCAGGCGATTTTTGAAAATAGCGAGACAAGTTAGCAGTATTTAGCAAATTTCGTGCCTAGTTAGTGAACGATATTTTATTGTGATAAAATAGACTACACGCTAAAGCATGAAATGGACTGAATGACAATGGAATGTCGTTTTAGGTAGTTATATTTAGATTCGTTGATAATTAAATTATGAGCATTCAAAAAGGTGTTATTATTTGCTGTGTATATTTTAAAACCCGAAGTAGACTTTCTTTGCAGAGTCACCTGAAATGTTCTAATCGAAAATTTAAGAAAGCAAATTTTCAAAGCACAGTTTGAAGAAAATTCGAGAGGAAAACAACATCAAACTCAGGGTTAGAGTATTAATTTGTAGCAAGAAAAATAGAGAGTGACTGTCAAATTATAAATGTGTACCTCTTGCTATATGCAATGAGGGCGGGATTCTGAAGTGAGAAGAAACACTTTTTTCGCTTTGCCACACACAAAAAAAAACCCCAGAAGGTTAAATATTCGAGTGATGTAGAACCATAAACTTGACACAAATACTGACGGTCGATAAATAAACAAGAAACATCTCTGTTATTTGTTATTAGTCACAGTTCCGTTGATGTTTTGTCTGATAAAAAGCTCTTAAAATGCGCTGCAATCATTTTTATGTCAAGTTTCTCACCCATTAGTTTTACTATTGTTCTCGCAATACCTCTCGGCCTTAAAAACAAACAATGATTCCATTCGGCTTTGAATGATATGCGATTATGCGGTTCGTGGAGTATTAATAATTAAACCTACCAGACTTTTCGCTTCAAAAATTTATTTCTTATTTTTGCCTCTTTATGAAGAGGGAGAAAGCGATTTTCTTGCATTTTACTGTATAATTTCAAGTTTTTTGTCTAAAAAAAAGCAAAGATAAAGGCTCAGTTCTCTCGCTGATTCTTGTTGATCGTGAGTTTCCATGGTAACGGGCTTGGAGAATATTCTAGTTTAAACAGGTGCTTGCTAGCCGACATTTATGTCACAGACTAAAATTACTCGGAAATCCTTTAGAATTCAAAAATTAACAAAATCTGTTACGAGTTATTTCAAGACAAAACTTTCAAGACTAAAATTAATTTTTTCGCAATAATCGCTAAAAAAAAGTCTTCCGACTCGAAATTATTCCAAATACGTTAGGCGGTGTAGCAGAATCTCGAATTGATTTGTTGATAAACAAGCGCTTCGAAAAAAGGTATGACGTAACAAAGTGCTGAATAGCCAACTCATAGCAGGTAGTTCTGTTGTTTTGGGCGAATCACAGCGCAAACGTTTTCCTTGCTTATCTTCATAAATATAGACCAAATCCGGGCGTTTCAAGATTATTTCGTCCGTACGAAATTTCGAACTGAAAGCTTCAGTTGAACTAACCTGAGACATCTTAATCGCTGACATAAGACTGCTTGTAAAATTCTGCTTCAGCCCATGGCTAATGAATCTACGATGTTATCTTTTCAAATGAACGACATTTATGCCAACTGGCCAGCTAATGACATGTATGGATGCAGCCAGAACACACTGACACAGTTACAAGAGAAAGTTTTACGGTCCCTGTCAAAGAAACGGGAGGAAGACAGTTTACAAGTGGTTCCAGAAAACGACAGCGTTTTTGAAGATCTTTCTCCAAGTCCCTATCTCGCAATGCATGAGGTTGTTTCCCGCGAGAAACGTGCGGTAAAAGGATCTCAAAACATATCACATTGTCGCACTGAACCGAAGACTGAAATCAAGCGAAACTTGAACTACCCTTGGAGTCCGAAATTGAATAAATCAATTCTTCTGGATGCGTTTAATTCAGCAGAACCACTACGTACTCCAACCTTTCCATTCTCGCCGCTTGCAAAAAATCCAGGTGATATCTCGTCACCTGCAAGTCCCTTAGCCATGATGTTGTTGAGTCCGTTTGGTCGCAAACCTTCCGAGGACCTCTCCATGTACCTACCCGAGAATTTCACTCCGGCGGCAACTCTGGAGCGTCTTGAACGTTCAGTTAGTACTACAGTGTTTGAATTTCCTGTTGTAGAACAAAACCAGGACGAATGTGAAGGAACAGAATTAAAACGCGAAGATAGCGAGAGTAAAATTGCTGACACGGTGGAGGACGATTATTTACAAACGAACGCTCAAGATCTGGAGGTATTCTTCAATTTGAATAATGACAATTGCTTTGGAGTTTGCAAGGTGCAACAACTTGAGCTTGGACAGCAGCCTGCTTTGGCACAAAACAAAGGAAGAAGAAAAAGAGGAAGACAAAAGGAAATCGGGGAGGGTTGTGGAGTTGTTGTAGGTTTCAGGAATAAACTCGAACGAAAACGTCGCAGCGAAATGAATTCTAAATATGACAAATTGAGACAATGCATCCCAGAAATAGAGAGCAGACACAAAGTTTCTAAAATACTTGTACTTAAATCTGCGGTGCAATACATTCAGGAACTTCAGAGGCAAGACGAACTGCTGACCAAGCAAAAGAATATTGAGAAATTAAAAAACGACGAGTTATTGAAAAACCTTGTAAGAATTAGCTCGTAATTCCCACGAAAATACAAAAGAATTTTTAGCAGGATATGATCATGAATTGCTTGCCATAGAATTGGATAAATTTATATTTCATATAAAATACTATTGTATGTTAGTGCGCTTCTCTTGTAAGCACTATTAAATATAAGCGGTCGACACTGGACAATTTCCTCGGGGCTGATTAAGCCGAGCATAAAGTTGTAACACGTTTGTATATGTTTCCACTCACTCGGTGTCCGTTGAAAGTACGTCAAAGTGGGTGCCGGTGATTTAAACGTCTCTTAGAAACAACACCTTCAGGGAAATATTCTGCCCACGTGAAGCTGTCAGAACAGTGAACTGCTAACATTGACACAAAAATAATTACAAATGTTGCTTCTCAAGCCTTGATGAATCAAAAAACGTGAGACAACTTTGATATGTTTTAACAGAAAATCCGGTACAGCGTTTGTTTGTTTTTTTTCACTCGTCTGGCCACTTTAATTTATGAAACGACAGTTTGTCGATGTCTCACCCAGTCAGACCTAGGTTTAGAATCCAGTCTCCCTCTCTCTCTGAGACTAAGTCAGACATTTCCTAGGCAACCAGACGTTCAGTTTCGCCCTCGGCTTTCCGGACGCACAAACGGACATGAAAAAACTTCCGTTAGACAACAGAACAGATCCATCCGCGGACTTCAATTGCTTAATAACATTCAGGAAGTTTAGACACATTTCCTGCCCTCTACATACAGCCACCCACGTTACAGTGCGCGCTCAACTTGACCTTTTCCTTATCCGTTGTCTTAGTTAACATCGCTCTCACGTCTAATTTCCAAACTTTAAATGAAAAAATGCCACCACATTTTCGTCGATAAAAGAAAAATTACATGAAAGATAGTCGATATTTAGCTGCTTGAGCTTTATAAAAATGGAACATCTGAAGATGCTTCATTCCCAGAGGAGCATATGTGATTCTCTTGTTTGTAATGCGTAGGTTATATATGATTCATATAGTTGGGAAAATCCCTTACTGACAAAAGTCCCGAACATTGCAAGAAAAGCCAGTCTTTCTCAAACGCAAAAATTAGTCCCGAAAACTCGGCAAACACACGAAAAATTGTCATTTGACAAAGTTAAACCTCCGTAAAAATTTACGTACGTGTGTGGTATTCGAAAAACTTCTGATTGCCGCCGAACAGACACGTCAAACATCATCGCCGTTTCGTCGCTTTTTTGGCGATCAAAAGTTGACTGACAAATACATCTCTGTCAACCACACTTCAGTAAAATTAAGGTCTGTTTATTTTTTTACCACTGAAAAAGAGTCTATTACGTCAAACACCTGTGTAAATATATGACACATGATCATTCCAGTGGGCTGCGAGCTTGCAAATTTCAGCCGGCACTCATCGCTATTGGGTTATCTAGAATTTGATGTTGACGATGCACCAGCCGATTTGGCCGACAGCGATGATAAGTGGACGTACCGTAAATCCTCGAATTAGCGCCCGGGGCGCTTATTTCAAATTTAGGAGAAGACGGGGGGGGGGGNTTATTCGAGGGGGGCGCTTATTTAATTTTTCCCAAATCGTGCCCTGACATGAACATTTTTTTTTAATACATCATGCGGACGTAAACAACAACAAAAGCTGTTTATCAACATAAAAAGCTGATCCTAAAGTTTAAATCGCGGCACCATTAGAAATTCCTGTGGTCACAAACCGTGAACTGAAACAATGTACAAATTTAATACTACACGATGAAAACTATACATCCTTTGCTCTCTCATTACTCGTCTACAAAATAGGGGAAGGGAAGGGGTTGCGCTTATTCGAGGGGGAACGCTTATTTTAAATTTTTGGCCAATAGGAGGGGCACTTATTCGAAGGGGCGCTTATTCGAGGGGGGTAGGGCGCTAATTCGAGGATTTACGGTATTTGTAGGCTATCCTAGTGGCCGTCATCATGAAATACTATCAGAGAATACAAATGCGAAAGGAAGGTCTTTCAGCGTTTGTGTTCATTTATCTTTTCTTACTTCCGAGTCCACAGAGGGTTTATCTAACAAATCGAAACATTGAGAAAACAACTATTTCCATTTCTTGTATCGGTTCTATTTATTCTCGAGGAGGCAAAGAGAAGTTTAGATCAAAATATTTGGGGCGTATACGAAAAAGATAGCGGTCCACCATGAGTCAAGAGGACGTAGAAATGCTGCGCTTATTATTGTTAAGGCATCGAGAGTAAAGCCACTAATTTACGTAACTTTCAAGGTCATTTCTCTCTCGAAAAAATGTTCAAATGTTGTTGTTTACAGTGGACAATGCGCTTTAAGCCACACCTAGCAAGCATGCCAATATTAATAGACGTATTGGTTTATGATAGGCTACAGGCATACCAGTAATAATATAGAGGAGTCGAGATCCATGCATACCGCTGATAATATAGAGAAGTAGCAGTTTATAATGAGCCATAAGTTCACGACAGAGAAGCATGGCAATAACTTGTGGCAGGTACCAGGAAAAAAAGAATTCGCACCATCGCTTTAGTATTATACCAAAAATTGAACTAACTTGAAACTTTCAGTACTGCAAAATGACGTCATTTCTGTGATTTATGTTCTGAAAAGCACGTCATCCTAGGAGTTTCACCACTGGTGCTATATTATAACGGAAATTCGAGTTATAAATAGGCAGAATTCTTTTTAGAACGCGAGTGAAGAGTGCTGCTTGTATTTGTCGAGGGTAATTCCTATATATTCACCATAAACATAGAAATGTTACGATGCGAATGTTCGCTATTTCCCTTAAAAACCTGCTGGAATTTCTTGGAATCGCGCGGAGGCCTTCCACAAACAGCCGCATATTTTTGGGATATCCAGAAGTTTCCCAGATCTTAAGAAAGTATTACGATATTTAGAAAATTTAGGGATATTTAGGAATATCAGAAGCATATAAGATTATATGCTTCTGAAAATATTCATAGTCATTTTTTGCTTAGCTCTGTGTTTTATTTAGAAAAAACGTTTATGAAATTTAGAAGTTTTTTTGAGAATTTCTGGCAAGGTATTTAGGCGAGTTACGTGACATTTGTGGAAAGACCTTATCGCGCGTTCACTCGATAATGTACGCACGTGACGCAAGCTGAGTGCATTATTGAGTTATAATGAGCTCAATAATTGCTTCACTCTCGCAATTCCTTGTTAAATACCACGTTAGAAATAGAATTACAAGATCATCTAGCAACCCCTGGCAAGTTAATCAAGAAACAGTTTGATATATTCCGATCTAGTGATCGCAAGTAACTTGCCTCAGTCCCCTTCTCGCTTCCACAGCTGAATCAAAATAACTTTTAGTTGTTCATGATGTGATGACGGCGTTCCTGATGGCATTTTTGCGTGTTTTCGCCTAGTTAAGGCAATATATCGTAAGTTTATACGCTGACCGATATTCGATTTCTTTCATAGGATGATTGAAAAGGATTATTTTTTTACAATGGTAACCTAAAACATGCCATAAATTAACGTTACGACTGGACACAACATTGTTCAGCACGAACATCTTAGATCACGCCATGAGACATTTCTCACGCGAAGTTCCAATTTACTTTTCGAAATCTGATGGCTGGGAACACAAGACTCAACATTCATCATCAACGAATTGTGCAGCCGTTATAGTGGTCAAGGAAACAGCGATCAAGATACAGAACAAGCCTGTGGCAACATTTGCATTTGACTTGAAAATAATTAGTTGCTATGGCGACTGCTTCTAATATTTACAAAATTTTCCTCTCATGCGCGAACTTTCAGCGCGTTGTTCAACAACACCCGAGCAACAATTAGCGCTTACATGTCACCCGATGCGTCACAAACATTAACGAACCGTTCGAGAACAGAACAAAGGAAAAAGCAGGATATTTTTCGATTTATTTGGTCGTTGTATTTGGACATGTGCCCTATGATGGACGCCGCGGTGATGAAGCAACATAGCGAGTTAGACGCAGACTACCTGGTTCTGGCAAGCATCGAAACTTCCTCATCAGATGATGAAAGCGAAAGCGACGAAGGTGATGTCTTCAGCGTGAGTTGCCACGGAAGTCATTTTAAACAGCTGAAGGAACAACCGAAGCAATGCGACGAGCTCGCTATCAAGAGAAGAAAGCTTCACACACAGCTTAACTTGCTGAATTCAGATCTTATGTCGATGACATTTGGCGGGAGTAGGACAAGCCCTGATCAACCTTCATGTGGTTTTGTTTTTGATAAACGCGCAAGGAAAGTACCGCGAAACAAACGATTGTCGCGAAAGATCGACGCTACTGGATCGAAAACGCGAAGAATTTCACCCCGCACTGCTTGAATGCGAAGAACTGTTAGACGCCGATATCTCGACAAAGAAAAGCTCTGAATTGCCTTAACGGCCTGGCCGATGGCAAGAAAAAGAACTTTTAACGGAGCACTTCTGAGAATAAGCTAGGATTTCGAAAGAGAACAATAAGTTCTCTACTGCAATGGATGTTATTCAAAGAGCGCAAAGAATACTCCAGATTTAGAGCTGGAAAAAAAAAAACGATGACCCTAGAATATCGCAGAAAGGAATTTCATAGATTATTGCTATCATAAAAATTGTATATAGTGATATAAGAGAGCAAATATGTACTTATTTATTTATGTTATTGCAAAAATTATGATAAAATTGACGGAAATGGAAGAGAATAACGCCACAATAATATGAGAATAAATATTTAACTATGGAGGCTAATTTGCAGTTGTCCTGAAAGCCTGGTTAATGATGTGAGCGTTTTGAAACATTATAATTTAGAATGAATGACAACCGTTGCTTACTAAAATATGTACAGTGTGGAATCCCGATTTTGCCATCCTCCAAGGGAAACTTGGTTCGAAAAATCGGGTAGTTCGAGAAATCGGGGGTAATATTGCAGTGTTCGACTGACGAGAGGGAAAAGACTTTTGGTTTGAGTTATCGGGAGGTTAAAAAAAATGAGGGTTCGAGAAATCGGGATTCCACTACATTGTGTAAAATGCGTATCTTGAAATGCCGAGATCGATATTTTCGTTAGTTAGCTCGACTACACCTCTCTAGCTCAACTTTAATTGATCATTTCTGGGCAAACTATTTCAGTTTACATCGATAAGTTCTGACCTTCCACCAATATCATAGCATTCCAATCCTTCTTTAGAAATATCGCTTCAAAGAACTAAAGGAAGCTAGTATTCTGTCTACGTTTGTTATTTCTGATTACCATCATCAAAAGGACCACGTATTTACTTGTTATGGTCTGTTTGGCACGTTACCGTGGCAACGTAATAGACGAAATCATCCTTTTACATAAACAGTAGCAAGCAAGAACCCTATTACGGCTAAAGTAGTTCAACCATAAATAATCAGATAAGCAAAACAAGATATTTTTTGTCAATCATGCTGTAAAATAAAAAAATACTGACATAGATGTTTAAAATCACTTTGAAGGGCACCTGTTACACCATTAGAATTTTAACACCGATTACAACCGAGCCGAAATTTTTCAAAGTAGCTACAAAAGTCCCCTAGCCTATCACGTTGCGAAGATGAAACCGTTAATACTCAAAACATCAGCTTCACCTCCGTACAGCGGTTAATTTACATTTATTAACTTCCGAGTCGATAAATATCAAAGTATCTTCTATCCAAACGCAGTCCTCGATCTAGAAAATAAAAGCATCAGTTTCTTGAGAGACCGAGTGTTTTGGTTCCAAATTTGAAAAAAAAAAAACACGGCGTTGGTCTGAGAATTGGAGTAACTGGACGCGCTTAAACACAATACAGGCTTTCATTTGAGTTCGAACGAGTAAGACTGGGCACACGAACGGGAACAACTGCTTGGCCCCATTCCAACTCATTCGCGTTATACAGCTCTCCGTCCTAAATGAATTTCAAGCCAAGTCACTGGATCGTAAAGCAAAATGTGGACACTTAAAATGCAGTTCTTCTTTGCGATAAACGCCACGCAATATTTACGCTATATCAGTTTTCTACTGACTTAAACTGCTAACCGTAACGGATACGCTTTCTTTTCAGATAAGAAAGTTGTTCCGATGCGATTAAAAGTAAGACCTCTCCGAGCTGCATGGCGACCACGGCTAATGCGGACACCTATCGAAGGTGGACACTTCTCTAAAGTGAAGGCCTCTCCCAGACAAACCCTTTTCCAACACAGAAACCTTTCTTGGGAAAAAATCTTTTCAAGATGGAAACTTCTCTAAGACGAACTCGTCAGAGAGGCAGACACCTCTCCAAGATTGACACCTGTCTAAGACGGACACCACTCCTAAGGCAACACACTAGTAGTGAACACTAGGGCTGAACACGTTCACTAATCAATCAGCATCACTGGAAACTGTTATATTTTCTGTTAATTGGTTTCATGAAAGGCCAGTAATGATGCATCCAAGGTTGGATTCGTCCACACAGCTCCCTCCCCTTACATATCCTATAAGAATTGCCTGCAGGCGTAGAATACAGGTAACTCTGGTGGATTCGTATTAAAAGTAATAATAAATGAAAAACTGCATTTGTTTTAGTGAAATGCAGGACATGTAACCGTGACCTAGAACTTTCAGATTATGCGAAAACTAATGGCTGCTAAAAATGTCGTATTAGGTACGATTCCGCTCGGAATCCCGAAAATGGTCTGCTTACACAGTCCCCTCGTGATACTGGAAAATGGTTTCACTGCCGGCGATGAACATGGTACCATCCCCAGTTTATTCAAGTCATTTGTGAACACTGACAAAAAAAAGAAAGAAACCTATCAAACTTTGGGTTTGACTTTTGGTCGCCATTGTCTCAGGAAATTCAAACCATAACAATAGGCAAAGTTTGATATGAAGAAGAACAAATGAGGATAGGCTATTGACGAGCTAAGAAGAAGAATCACTCCTGTGCAAAGATGCTATCTTTGTTGTATACAACAGAAGAACTAACAATAGATCTCTTTCTATTCTTCTCTACACAACAGGACGAAAAATGTTAACGCTTTCTGCTTTAAGGTTTAACTTTTGAGTCAATGCACCACGTGGAATATTATATGAGATAAATGAAAATATGAGCCAACTGAGAGAGATGAAATAAGTATGTTATGCGCCGTACAAGAAGAGTGACTATTGTAACAATTATAGTACGGTCCATAACATACAACACGTTCTCAAGATGTGCCAGATGCATAATATGTGTTGTGATGCTTTACTGTCAATCCATCAATATGTCTTCCTACTGCAATGGAAACAGGCGAGTCACAATTGACCAGCCACCAATTACAGCCCATTTTCATCTTGATCCGGCCGTTGCTCGCAAGAGGTTTTACGGGCCAAATGTTCGATGAGTAAATTTTCAAACATCATGTCGAAGATGAAAGATGTCTTGATGAATTCCAAACGAAAAATTTTAATTCAATTACCGCTTTTGTATTATTCGAAATGACCTTAAAAAACTTCTTCAACGTTTTTATTGGTTTTCAATAAACACCTTGGATGTTTGAGATGGAGATGTAAGTAGTGCGGTCAGTATATTTCAAATTTGAACGATTTCTGATGAAAGCTCTAGCGGGAACATTTTCGGTTTGTTTACAAGAAACCAGCCTTGGTTTGAGATTTTTCCTGTTTTTTTTTTTCCATAGTATTCCATGCCTGGATATTTTACAGCGCTTGAGCCAACTTTTGTTTATGCCATCGAATAAACAATTGTCCTACAAAAACAGATGTTATGTGCGTGAGTAGTACACGTTTACGTCAGCGGAAAAAAGGTCAAAATGAAGAAAAATAACTTGAAACCAAAGAAAAATAACAAAGGTCAGTTTTTATAACACACCAGGTTACATGTCTTTTGTGTACCGATCCCAGGCAACCACACATGAATGACAAGGAACGAACAGCTTTTCAAGTCTTTGTGAAGTCGAGACAGCGAAATTAGCTTCTTTTTACTAGAATTGTCAGTCTGTAAACATTGTTGTTTTTGAAATTTTCTTTCCAAGTTTTTCTAACTTCTCCTGAGACAAGGAAAGGTTTGCATAAAATCTACTATTCTGAAAGAGAGATTTGTTTTATGCTTACCCTGGCAATTCCTTTCCTGCATGCATGGTATGGCTGTGTGGACTCTTGTGGCTTGCGTCGCTTGTGAAACTCGGTTTAACGTGTAGCTAGCTAGTCATTAAACAATCTGTTTGTTATATTATTTGTAAGCTCTGCTCGTAGTAAGCTCCAGCTTATAGTCTTGGCTTTGGACAGCGTAACCTTGAACAGGCCATTTCCTAGTTGCCTTTTGTCTCTATGTCAAAACGGGTCTTCGTGCAAAACTATTCGCTTGAAAATGTGTTCCCTCTACTGGTTCTTTTTCATTCAAATCAATCTCATTTTCATATGAAAGGTTTTGCACGAGTCCTCGTTTTGAAACAGAGGCACAAGGTATCTCGGAAATGGCTTACCACACATTTTACTTTGTCGAAATTGGCGGAAGAGAAAGCTGTCCCACAAGAGTCAAACTCTATGTGTAACACAAAATAAAACATCGCCCATACCTTTAAACTGTTTGGATGATGCACCAGTCATTTGAACCCCCCCCCCCCCTCCCCCGCCCTCCATACCCGGGGCAAAGCGGTGGTTTTCATCTCGTTTTCACTCGATTTAGGTTCCCTGGTAGTCGGGGAATCCACCTCTTTTCACGACTTCGCTATAAAATGCGATGGCTGAGCGGGAGTTTGGCGGGGATTTCACTCGTGGTTCACGATCTCTTTTAGAAGACTAGGTTCAAGTTGCATTTTCGCAGAAAACATGGAGGCTGCACAACTAACAAAGAAGGTATGATTTCAATCGCACAATAAATACAGTATCATGCCTCTTCGGAGCCATCGATAACAAAAGGTTAAATATCCCATGCACTGATTTGCCGTGTTTTAAGTGATTTTTTTATTCTATATTTCAATGGACTGCAAGAAAAAGAAGAAACGAAGAGGAAGGGGGAAAAATCAGTAACCTTGACTTCAGTGGTGTAAAAAAAGCCTGTGAAAGCTCCAGTTGTTAAAAGAGTTCACTCTGAATTTTTCCCCCGCAAGACGGGACTTTCACTGCATTTCACTGACAGTAAAAGTGCGCCGGGTATCGCGCAATGGAGGGGGGAGGTGAGGGGTGGGGGTGGGGCGGGGGTTTAAAATGACTAGTGCATAATTAAGAGGCTCGGATAAGCTTAGATACATATGTTGCACATGTTTCCAGACCACAATCAATTTCCAGTTCAAGATGTTAGCATGTGAATATACCCGCCCCTCATTACTTCAGACAGTTTTGGCGTTTGTTTCTCTCAGAAAACTCTGAACTGCCGAGAAATGATGAGAGACGGCGCATTATCCGCAGGTTAGCATGTGAAGTGCAAGTGTGCTTTTATTGAAGATGCATCTCTAGGTGACGTCATGGTAGGCAGTGCTAAACAGAGAAACTTTTTTTTTTATTTGTGCGTCTGCAATGTTATCTAAAGCAAAACCGTGTGATATGTGATTAAACTCGGCTAATAAAAGCAGA